TGTTTCTAGGATTCGCTTTTTTGAAGTTGTTCTGCTCTTGATTTAACATTTAAATATTCTTTGTGTTCGTAATTTTTTAAAATTTGTTTATTATTTTCATGACATTGCTGTTAAATGATCATCTCCCTGCGTGTATTCGTGCATATTCTCCGTTTGAGGATCTCACTCGCTCGTTTTTCAGACCAAAAGGGATCAACTCTCAGTGAAAGTGACGCGTTTCTATCGACCCGAAGACGTTCCAGAGGACAGTTATTCACTGTTGCTTCAAGATCGTAAAGACGACATCACTCTCAACCATAGGGTTTTGGATGCCTTGCAGCATAGGGAATTATTCTCATCCGAAATACCATTCGTGCACTCCATTTGTAATTTGAGGTGAGTCCCTCATTTCCAGTCTGTTTCTTTCGCTGTTTCCCAACATAATGAACCAACTTCAGTTGGGTGTTCATATTGCAATGGTTAACGGTTCATTTGTTTTTATCTGTTCATTGTTTTGCAGTCTGATATTTCGATTTTGTGTATAATGATTTTTGATGCCATATTTTTAAAAAATCAAACACCGCTTATCCCGACTTTTTTTCAAGTTTCATCTCGTTCTAACCCTTTTTTCAACTACTGGGAATATTGAGTTTTTGAAGGTTCCTCAGAATGGTGTCCAATTTCTGTTCGTAACTGAAGTTCTTCTCAAATTTATGCATGTATGGAACATCTGCTTGACTGATGCTGTAACGATACATCGTTCTTTATATTTATAATAATGAAATGATATGTCCCCTGCAGTCAACAAGATTTGAAAATATTCATTCACCGCTTTTCACATCTACAAAAGTCATTTTTGCTTATTACATCAGACATGTTCAGTGATAGTTCAAATGAGTGATGGAATCCGATCGATAGTCGCTCGGATTCCGGTTGGAATCCGACCGTCAGAATGACAAAATGCCAACTCGGTCGGATCCCGACCGACCGAAATTTCGCTCGTACCCCATCACTAGTTCAAATGAAAAAAAAAAACAGCTGAATAATAGAAGAAATGAAAGATGTTTTATAAGTAGAGCAGAGCAATGAATTATTGATGTGAATTATGAATTACGTTTTTATATTCTACTGATTACTGCTTTCTCAAGAATTCACTGATGTTTTGCGTTCTACACATGTGGAGTCATATGTACCGTATTTGGTTGATTAGAAAAATAGGAACACATAATTATTTACAGTGATTCGGAGGGGGCATATAGTTTTCTCTCAATTTTCAGAGACTACTGAATATGCAATAAAAACAAGACGCATACATTGACTAATACCACAGAGGAATACATATAATTGCACCATGATTAAGAAATAGTTTGAAATGATGTTATTGTGTTGATCGAAGTACTGTTTTATTCAGTTGGATTGTTACTGTGCGATGTACTATTTAGCTGTTTAGTTATTAGTTCATTAAGATCGTTCAAGAAAGCTTATTTAAGAGAATGAAGGGTAGAGGATAAGGTCGAAAAAGATTGATATGATCCTGATTTCACACCAAAAAATGCGAGTGGACGATCAATAGAGCAGCTACTAATATTCAATTAATTTACTCCAATTTTTGTTTCTATTTTCCGCAATTAATTATCGTTGAGTTAGTGTCATTCGATAAATATGAATTTAAGAGAATGTTTGTGAAATTACGGTGCTTTTTTATCGATGTAACATTTAATAGCATGCATTAATGTGGACGTTTAGTGTCATGTTGGTGCTAAATTAATTGGAATCCAAAAACGGTGCACTTTGCCTGTGAAAACTTTCTCATTTCCGATATTTGCGCGCAAATTTGCAATATGCCATTGTCCCCTCCAGTATAGACCTTTGAGGACATATTCGACGATATTCACCTCGAAATTTTGATAAGCAGGAAATGTTTGTCTGGACTGGCCTTGTCGAGTAGGTTTTTTTAGCTTCCCAAATATTTCTCATGTTACGAAGAGAAGCTTTTTATTTTCTTGTTAAGGGTATGTTCAGTTTTTATTCGAGCCGCATTTCTGGCGAAAAATCTTTCAAACAAGAGTCTGTCTCTTACGGGATTTAGTCGGCCCAGACAAGCGTCGTAAGTCGGCTCCAACTACATTATGTGTACCAATAAACATATTTTAAAGAAAGCGAACGTATCATCATCACCATTGTTATGAGATGAAAGAAGAACATTTAGATGAGTGCGATTTATGCTCTACGGGTTAACAGAGTGCCAAATGGTTGTGTGTAAAGTGTGTAGAGCAGGGGAAGTATGAGATGAATCAAAAACAGTGTTGTAAAGAGATATTGAAGGAATATGGAAGTTAGAGAGAAGGATAAAAGAGATAAGGAAGACAAACCGAATTGTGCTTATTATTGATCATGGTTTTAGTTTATTGGCTTGTGTGTGGTACGGACAAACTGCACAACGCTTATACTCTTTGGCAGTTTATTCACTCTGCGTTATTATTATTATTGTTGTAGCATGATTTTATATATTGATAACATTTGTTGGTTGATAATTAGTTTTTGTTGTTAACACATCATTTATTCCATCGTCACTTTATTTGTTTTCATTTTATGGTTGCTTTTATTTTTCCATTATGATTATTCTGACAACTCAAGTGCGTTCGTTCGTAGACGTTGAGTGTGTTTGTGACTGTCATCGAAAAGGCCGTTATTTCCACACGACTACCCCATTTTTTGCACTATCTCTTTCCTTCTCTCAGTAACATATTTTTCGCTCTCCTGAAAACGGCAACTGATTAGACTTGATTGTTTTTTAGTATCTTTTATGTGGTTATACATTTTTGATTCAATCTTGAAATATGATTCCAGTTTGAATTTATTGATTAATTGATCAATGGTGGTGGTTTTTTCTTTGAATTACTTCAGGTTGCTGAAAATGAAATGCTTTTATACATTTCAGCGAATCAGCTAGTGAACGATTGTTTTGCAAGGCGCTTCATTTAAAATGTAATCTTTTAGTATTATTACTTCAAGCAGACCCGTAGGCTAATTAAGGATCTTGATGGCTTAGAATGCGAGTTGGGATGTTTGTTTTTTTTTTGGCGTTTGACTTGAATGCAACCCACAAAAGACACCAAAGTGACCCCAGCGATAAATTTTAAAACTGCATTCGACAGTCACACTGTGTAGTTGATTGACCGTTCGGTTACTTATTCAGTATGGTCACTTCATACTGAACCGATTGGTAATGAACTCATCCAAGTTCGCGTGCTTGTCCGGAACTATCCGTTTATCCGATGACGTCCATAAGCCAGGGTTTGCGATGACTGAAAACGTCACTGCAATATGGGTGCTATTAAAGCAGTTTTTCATTGAGTGATGTTCATAGCAGATATGTGTGTTTATCGTTCTTTATTGGTTGTTGGTCAGTCTCTCGCGTTTTTGCAAAGATCTGGGTTACCCTTCATCTGTCAACCGTCCATATTAATGTTCAGTTAGCAGATTAACACATACTGTGAGGGATTTCCGGCTCATTGTATTTGGCAGTTGTAATAACCGAATAATTATCTCTTCAGACGAGAATAATTAACGGAAACGGTGCAGGGGAGTGAGATGAAATTGAGTAGGATATTGATCGCAAAAAAGGCATCCTCAACGGGAGGAGAATTAAGCAGAAATGTTTGAGAGATTTGTTAGTATTGAAAAGGTCATCCGTTGTTCATGATTTTATATTTTGAGATAATCTTCTTCTTTTGACTACCTACATTAAAATTCAGCCATCAGATTGGCGCTGAATCCTATTTATGTACAGCTCATTAGTACTCTCAGAGTAATGGGTTTATTCCATGTCACGGAAATGCGCGATGAGTTCATCTTCCAGTCCTGATTGTTCTTTTTTTGTGGCTTGATATCTGCAACGCTGCCGTCAAAAACCTGGTCTCAAAGGTTATCGTTTTATGCAAAAACAGGTCGAGGGAGCGAGAGCATGAGGAAGAAAAGTGCAATTCCAACAACTGGGGGCATTTGATTGAATCTGGTGATTGTGTCGTTTGCGTTGTATCCTTTCAAAACAGCCAACAAAAAAGCGTACGGTCAAGAAACCTCATTATGACTTGTGATGTTTCTATACCACGTTTATGAAAGCGGTTCTATTCCTCTCCAAAAACGACTCTATTTTATTTTATACTGTGCGTTTCTCGTTTGGAAATTGTTATGTTCTATTCCTTGGAACAAAACAGGAATAGAATAGTTTAACTGAAGTAGAGACATGATTAATTATGACTCGACGCATTTTGATCACAATTCAGGAAGATTATGTGTGGGAATTCACGATACTCAATAAATATCCGGCTGAAAACTTTTGCATGTTAGGTTAGATAGAAAATTGTCAAGACCAGTTTATAAGATTCATTCAGAACTGCAAAAAATGAAGGCATTTGGCGGCGTCGAATTCGTGAAGGAACTTTTACTGGAGTTCATTCAGAAACTGTTATAAAATACGCATCATTAAAACAATAAAATTCGTTATTTTCATAGGTTTTTTTTGTGGCCTTATTTAGTTTCTCTCTTATCAAAATTTAATTTCCTTCTCATCAAAATTTAGCCCGCTAGCGATTTTGGATTGCCCGGGCTTGCTTTAACGCTAAAACATTCTTGTGGTGACAGTTGCACATATCATCCAATTTATATTAGCTTATATCTGCTGATATGGTTTTCGTATGTACCTTAATGGGAAGTTTTTACCATCTGAACATAACCACTGTGGTCTTCCTCTAATTTCTTGAAACCCTAAGAATCTGAGACAAGAATCTGAATTTTCTTTCGCGAACCAGTTATAGTTTTTGAAACAATCATTCAAGAGTGTTTTCTTTTCACGAACTTAATTTGTGACATAAATGACAGTAGTTGGTGAAACAATTCGGTACATGGCATTTCTTCCTGTGGCCGCCGAAATCAACGTTATTAGCAACAGTTCATGTTTTCATTCTTTTTTTTTTTTTGAATCGTTTATCATATAGTTCTCTCTATTCATCATCCATCTTTGATGATTTATTGATTTTTCGTTTCTCTAGTTATAAGACTTTATGAAGTTGCTTTGAGCCAGAAGTCTACCATTGTGCTGTTTGTAATACGATTGTTTGTTGAAATGAACAATTGGGATGATATGTTGACGACAAGGTATGTTAGAGCCGTTTAATTGCTAATTACACGATTGGCATGAAAACGTTGTCTGTTTTATGCTCAGTTTCATAACTCGTCAGTAGTATATTTCCTTGTAAATTTGTCTCAATAGTTGTTGGTTTATCGATCGGTTTGTGCTAATTGTTCGGTGTTGTTGAGATGATGAGCGCGCACGCAGCTATCGTCTCTGTGTTCTAATATATGAAATGTATTTAGTGGCATAATTGCGAGCGAGTGCTCATTCACGGCCGCTAAAATTAATAAAGCAATGAAAAGTCTAATTTTGAATATCTTTCGAATTAATGCAAACGTATATTGAATTGAATGACGCATTCTGATTATTGCATGCATCATTCAGATGATTCATTTCATGGTTGTATACGAACGATATCCTACTCAATTTTGTTGTTTTACTGATTTATTTACGTTAAGCGAATGAACATTTTCGATTCCTGAACAAGTGATAGGTTTGTCGAAGCTGTTAGCATTTAAATTAGCTGTTTTTCGTCCACGTACTAATTTCTAGTTGTCGTTGAAAACTTTTTCCATCCCATTTTTTACCTTTTATTTCGTCCATACTTTCAATCTTACTGCCTTCATGATTTTCCAAATTATTAAAGAATTATCATGGATGTTTTGATATATTTCGTTCTCTTTCGTTAACGTGATCTGTGGACATAGAATCAACTCATTCCCTGAAACTAGTCATTGTTTTTTGTTGTTGTTTTTTTTTAAATATGTTATGCTACTGGCAAGGTAATCAGAGAATGAATGAAACTGTTGAAGAAAAACACATTCACATTCAAAAGGTCCAGACGTATTTTAATTGTCCACATATAAAAGGTAACTATTGATTGTTTAGAGGTTGAAGGAGGTATGGTTGTCATAGGTTGTTCATGTTAATGAGGAGGTAGGAATAGGCGATTTGCTTTTAGAGTGGGACTTCGGTCCATGATCACGGTTCGTTTGCAATGATTTTGTCATTGGTAGAATTGATCGTAAACCAAAGCATATTTCTTCACAGTGATCAATACAAAAATATATCCATTCATTCTAGCCGACCCAATTCTCATTATAGCCGACCCAATTCTTCACAGTTCTTTTGCCGAATGCAAACTTTTATTGATGACGAAGAATGTCAAGATTTTTGTTTCAAAAAATTTTAGAAATTTAAAAAAATGAAAATATGATGTTCAACCAGAGTTAGAGTCACCTTCCTTGGTTGTTTGCGAAGCAATGCTAGGATATGTTGTAAACAAGTCAGCTCTCAAAATCGTTGAAAATTCTTTGGTGTTGTTGTGAGTTACCATTTCTTTTCCCCGTCGAGGATTTCATCCTGATGAAACCTAGGCAATAACACCTTTTTGCTCCGACTTCCCCACAGATGAAACGAAATCTTCGAAGATGTTTCAGAGATTCCTTCAAGAACACACTTCTCCCTCAATAAAACAGACAAGCATCACTTCAAGTAACGAAAAATGTTGCATCCAGCGTCAAAACTGGCTAAAGTAAATCTTCTATCTCGTTGAGAAATCTACTCGTTAAGCCTAAGCCATAAGAAACGATCAATATCCTGTCATGAATGCTCTTATACGTTTGGTTTGCATGACGAAAATTTCGTAAGTTTGGTTGAAAAAATAGACGATAACCCAATAGCGGTCATCAGTGGAAGCAAGTGTCCGCAAGAAATTTTGATTATATCTATTTGCTTATTTGCATTTATTCAGTGTTGTGTTCATTTCACTGTGTTTTTAAATACGCGTCATCAAAACCTATTAACTGTTACGCATGAATTTTCAGTGATGATTTTATCGCAGAAAGGGCTGGTTCAATTTTTCGAACTGATTGAATTTTATCGTTTGAATCCATTCACTCGAGAATACCTTCTGAAAGTTTCTTTAAATGAAAATTTTCAATAACCATCGTGTAATTTATTAAATTTTCATTTTTTTCGAATTATCATTGAATTAGAATTCATCGTTGAAGAAGGTGCCAGTGTTTCCCTGATCCGTACAGCATGCTTCTCGCTTTATTCACGAATGGATTCGCTCTCAGCTTCGTATATTTTTCGCAACTAATAGTTTTCAGCTGTCCATGTCACTTATGAAAATTGTCTTCATTAATGCCGACTGAATTGTTTCTATTCATTCATGACAGTTCATGAATTTTCCAAAACTATTGTAGGATAAGTTGAATTTCGTCATGATTGTTTATGTTTCAACAAACGTTGAAAGCAGTCCGATCAAATCATCTTACTGGAGATAGTATTGTTCATTCACCGCTGCACTTTTGCAACCTTTTTTTCGTTGTTTACGAGGCAATTTCATTGCATCGCAAACTCGTTCAGTTGCATTTGAATACATCGAGATCAACCAAATTGTTCAATGAAATGAATATTGCAGTCACATCAAATGAATGGAATCGCAAATTACTTTTATTAGTTTCTAAATTATATAAATTTTAACAGTCTCGTTTGTTCAAGTTTACATATAACCGGCAATATGTGAAGTATTATATATGAGTTCGCTTAATTCCGAGAGAATAGTTTTGTTTTACTAGCAGTCAATAAATAGTCACTTGTTCAGGAATTATGCAGTTCTTAAAATGGATAATCTGATTTTCGTTCTCAAATGCGATGGTAAATTTGAATTGCATCACATCTGATTTTCTAACTGATATTGTTAAGTTATGATTCATGTTATTTTTTGATTATTTACAATGAATCTTTCCTTATACAGCTAGCATTCGCTCACTGGTTATAATTTTCTTGCTCACATTATCTTCAATTCAGATCTTCATTTCTGAGTGTGTTCACTCAAAGAATTTGTTGAATAGCAAAAATAATTGTGAGCAATACCTTTTAATAACGTTCCAAACAATTTCAGCAATTTTGTTGATTTTAGTTGAAGTTTCACTCGAGTGGGTTGTATGAATGTTTCGTTGAATCTTGTCGGAAATGAGCTCCCTTCATTGTCTCATTATATTCCTAATTCCTCTACCAATAACATCGAAATTCAACGAAGCTTTTGAACCGACCAAGAATCGAACAAACACCCTATCAGCTCATCGGCCCGTTGCACATTGTGACTTCAGTACACTACCGGCCCTTTGCACGATACTTTCAAATCTACTTACCATTCTCTTCTCACCATTCACATCATCTATTTATATCGGCTGTTCGCGCTATCTGTTACAAATCTCTTTTACAATTATCGCTAGCGTTTTCAGTTAATTGACTCATCGAAAGATAATTTCTACCAGTTGATCGATAGGAAATGATCGGTCAACCGACCATAAGTTATCATTATCGCGCAAGCGGTTTAGAGTGTTTGAGATGCTTCCTTCATATACAGTCTCTGATTAGTGTCCGTAAACGCATCCAGCCTGTTTCTCATGGTATCGTCATTGTCCCTAAGCTGTTTTATGAGTTTTGGAATTATTTTTTGTGTTCCTAATTGAATTGGCAACGGTTTAGTGCTGAGATATTGGCATAAATTTGGACTTCTTATCCGCACCAACTATCTCGCAAAAAAATTTCCTATTTATGAACTCCAATTTCTATTTGGCATTCTCAATAATGCAACATTCAAACAACAAACTGTATCATTTTCTTCGCACCCACTGGAATAACCAGTTGCTCATTGTGTTGTTGTTTGAATTTGAACAGTTGAAGATGAAATTTTGTTGTGCATTCGTTGTCGTTATCGAATTGTGTTAATGTTCAGTCGTTTTCCGAGTTAGTAATGCTTTTACACTTGATGCTCTCTGTTTATCAATTCAAAGTAGTTGTCAATGACAGGAACTCTTCTGTTTTCATTTGATTCATAAATTTTCTCATCGATTCATTAGACAACCAGTGTTTTTCCAGAGGCAAGTGTTCAATACGATTAGTGAAAGATATTCGTACGTTAGGTGAATGTGACGTGCGATCGCCTAAGGACACTTTCTTTTCGTTAGTGTCATACGATCCCAACAATAGCAGACTGGCTTCCGTTCAAGGAGAAATCCGCGTTGGCGGTTCTTATCAGGTGATTTTTTCACGTTCAGTTTAATCGCGTTGCCTTTTTTCTTTTCAATGTATTCCATCCATCTACGTATCGAATATTTCGTTCTGCATATTTTCAGTTGATATTCTTGTCATATCCATCCTCATATATGACCAATTCTTTTTGTTAGTTGTTGATGAAATGCAGTCAAATCATTTATCAATCGTATCCTTATTGTTCTTCTCTTTATTAACTTCCCGAAGATTTCTGTCCGTTTGGGGCGTGAGCAGAATGTTTTCTTTGTGTATTTATTCATAATCTCATGCGTGAATTCTTCTTAAATAGTTTATTGATATTTAGTGATTGTTGAAAGCATTTAGGTGATCTAAAATAAGTTTTAGGTGATCTAAAAAATAAATGTAAAATAAGTTTTATCATTTGAGCGTTGCCTTATCTATAAATTTCTGCGTTTTTAAATAATTACAACTTACCTTACTCACTGGCATGCAATCCATTTTCGTCAAACAAAAGATGTGTATTGAATCACTGATTCACTCAAAGCAAAGTGGAATTATCGCTAATAGATGAAAATCGCTCATTCTGGAACTATCATAGTTATAGTTTATGATTAGTCTTGGTAAATCATATGGCTTGCACTGCAGTCTCTCTGAACCATTCGAAACTACTGGGTGGTCTTAATGCAAGCGTTATTCATTGCTCACTGATTTCCTCTAGACCAGTGGTTCTCAACATTTTTCAGCTAATCGACCATTCGAACTTAAAGTGAATAGGCTTCATCGTCCTCTTTCTCCACAAATTAATAATAGTCGCTTTGTGGAAGGCTAAAAGCAGTGTTTAAGTGATCTTGTAGAAGTTGAGCCTTTTAAAATATCTAGCAATTTGACTTGATTCAAGCAATTTTGAATTAGTTATCCCCTATGTTTTTCATTTCATCTACTTTCGATAACTTTTGATGTGATGCTCGTTTTCGCTGTTTTCTCTTCGTCACAGGGCGGAGCAGTGTCCGGCTATGCACTAGACAATAGTTTATATTAAAAAGGGTGCGTAAAAACCATTGAACATCTCCGTAAACCATTGAACACTTTGAATCAGAGGGTAGTTTTGCCACTCTGATGATTGCGCTTGCGATCTGAATCTGTTTTTATTGTCATTTCTCCTTATTTATGTGGCCAAATATCCACTTCGTTTTTCGAATCACATGAAGGCCATTGCGTTGTGCGTTTGATACAAACAAGAAACAATTCCGAAATTATGAGTTTTGTTTATTTTTTGACATTTGTTTATCATATAATAGCAGTCCTTAATGTCATTTCAGTTAGTCTTTGATAATTTTCGGTGAACAAATGAAATTGCAGGCGAAAGTGCCACCATTGGAGATCGGTTCAGCTGTAGATGAACCGGACCGTGATGAGTTGGTGTGGAGACCAGGGTATATCAGCGAGGAAAGCGAGCATGTGTAAGCAGTTTTTTTTTGACTGATCCTCATTGTAAAGTGATCATCTCCTGTAATGTTTCACTCATTCATTATCGTCGCAACTGTCATATGTGATTGTTTATCAGTTCAGTGATGCGCTTTTTTCTGCAGAAGGATCATTTTTTTAGCTATATATCTAACTGTTACAGATATAAAAGGGCAACTCGTTCATTCCGTATGTTTGCGATGGTTCGGAACGAGCATGTCACCCAAATGGAACGAGATTTTAGGACAGGCGATTTGTGCATGTACGATGCGATTATCACCGTATGTATTCTTTTGCTTCTTTCATTGTATCATATCAATATCCTTAAATTATCAAGAGATAATAGAGTGTAACTCATTGTCCGCTGGTATGATCATGTGAAAATTTTTACTAAAAATCGTTAAAATGTAAGCGTGTAATGTAACATTGTTTAATTTCGATTCTGAGTTTTTTCGCGAACAACCGTGAGAGGTCGGAATCATTTTTACAAGTTGTTTGGTTGACTTGTGAAAATTTTAATATGCCGTTTATTGATTTAACTTTAAGTTGCATAAATGTGGCTACAATGTAAATCATGCAATAGAGGCAATGAACAAGAATGATGAGCATCTCCTCAAAGTAACGAATTTTATGAGTGCAGATGATGCGAAGAAATTCGCTAAAGGCATTAAAACGTATGGCAAAAATTTCTTGAAAATTAAAAAGGAGCTTTTGCCACATCATGAAAGGGTTTGTTATAGTGATTTTCTTGTATTTAACGTTGTAGTTTTTATTTAGTGACGTTTATTGACGGTTTTGGTGTAGTTTTTCCACGGTAAAGTTGTGTAAAAAATTCCAAAAAATTTGTTCATTTGATGATAGAGAGAATATGGAAAGCATTGAACGTTTGAACAGCCAAAAGTTCATTTGTCACATTATGGTGATTATGCTTTTGAAATGTTTAGGATGAACTTGTTCAATTTTATTACGGGTGGAAGAAAACACGTGACGCCACACGTCCAAAACCATTAACAAGGCAGCGTAATACAACTGCGGCCACCTATCGTAAACCAAAGAATAATCAGTCGAAGGTGATTGATATTTTGAATTTGTTAAATTCAGTTTATTCGTGATATTAGATAAGTATGAGTTTGCCAAACATTTACGTGGTCTGTTCCATTAAGTATTTATTATTCTATGTTCCGCAGTGTTTTAAAATCAGTTTTGTTTACTTAATGGTTTCTTATGATTGCATTGAATCTTTTGGAAAACGGTGTGGAGTGACTAGTTGGATTAGGGGAAACAGTTGAAAGACAAATAAATGTTGAATGTCGTCATCCTTTCAAATTGTCGGCAATTCTTTATGTAGATAGTAGAAATCTAGGTGAGTGAATAAGTGTTCCCATGACTGTGGGTCAGAAAACTGTAAGGTGCGAAACATTTTAGTTTCTCATCAAATAACGAACATTTTAAGGCAACACGAGCCGGTAGCACTGATTTGGCAGATTACGCGTCTGCAAGTGAAACTGAAGTGGACGAGTTAGAGAGTGATGGTCGTGCATGTCATCATTGCTATTCATCCAGTAATGTTATTCCCTTCTTCCACGAAACAGTGCTTACTTTACCTGTTTTCTCTTGAGATCAAACAAAGAATACTTGTACTTTGTAATATCGTGGTGCGGCATATGTTTTGCCAGCTTAGGGTTGCTTTCACTGAAAACTTTTCGATTTGCGGCTTGCCATGTTGGTATGCTGTTGAATGCTAATAAGTATCCAGTAATATTATTTGCTTTTCTCATTTATGTAAGTTTGTTTCCTTCAGAGAGTAAAGACTGGCATCATTCGGGTAAAGAGCGACAATTACTATGCACTGAGTGTAGGATATTTTATAAGAAGTATGGACAGTTACGACCTGTTGATCGACCAAGCACGGTACCGCCTTCACTTCATAAACCGAAAAGTGCTGATGAGAATGACGAAGAGGTGTGTTAAAGTTGCAATTGATGCTGAGATGTGAAATGATTAAACTCGTTCATCAAATAAACATTATTAGATTTTTTTTTAAATTTCATAACAGTCAAAAACCACAGGCAGCACTGCATTGTGAATTAAATACGTGAAAATAGTTCATTTTTCTATCTTCAATTTTTAATGTTCATGATTCTTCCTTTTTACAATGAAAATGTGTATAATCGGTAACTGATAATTTTTGCTTTTAGTAAATGCTCCGTTATAGGTTTCTTTTAAATTATTTGTGTTATGTATGATTGAAGGATCACGGTGTTCGAACGCGTGCTGGTAACAAAAAAGAACGTCGACGCACTCCTTCTGATACAGACAAGAAGAGTTCGAGTCCTCAGAGTTTGAGTGATTTGGCTGAAATTAAGCAGCGAAATGGGAAGAGGAAAAGGAATCACATTCAAACTCCGGAACATGTTAGTTGAATTGAGCTGTTCAAATTACAATCAAAAAGATAACGGTGAAATCAGATCAAAGGCTGGTTTTCAGTTGGTGGACTGATATGTACTCAAATCTCGCCACTGAAAAGTCTAGCGATCTCAAGCGTGGTGCCCATTAGAATGCAATATCTACGTTGTCTTATGAGGAATGTTTTTTTTTAGATGAACGGTAACGCGAAAAGGCGTATCATAAAAGAGGAGAAAGACGATTCTGGCGCAGAATCAATGACACTAAGAGAGGAGGATATGAGCAGCAGTCGTGAAAATTCAATTATGAGTGATTCACTTGATAACAAAAAGGTTGGTATCATCAGACGACAATTTATTATAAAGAAGTGTTTGTATCGAGATACTTCGATCGATTGTACCACTCTAAATGTTAATAACTGATTGTTCGGATCCATATTTTGTTCTTGTTATCATTACAGGCATCAATAATAGTTGAGTCGGAAGTGGTTGAAAAGATGGAGACGGAAGCCATACAAGCCACAATGGCTGAAGGAATGGCAGCTAGTCCAGAGAGTAGCGCCACAGCAGCTCTACGTCAACCTCTAAGTGTTGCATCGAGCTCAAATATGCGTCAACTGGCTGAACCCCTATCATCAGGCGCAGTCACCAAGAACGAGGAAGAATTACTGGTGAATGGAACAATTTCTAATGACACAAAGCCAAGCACTAGCACTGCCAACTTACTAACCGATTCTATACAGGTTATTATGTGTGACTGTTTCATCGCTATTGTGTTCAATGAAAATCAACAAAGATTCTCGGAATAGATGTAAAAATGCTTCAGGATCGTAAAGTAGATGAGAAGGAGATGGACGACGGTTCGTGGAAGATTGGCGATTCTGTTGTTGAGACGACCAACAATGCTTCTTTTGTACGCATTATAGAACGCCGTTGTGGACAGATGAGTGCTCGCACAGATCTTGCTTATCGAATAAAGCCAGGTTGCGAATGGATTAAAAAACGTGAAGCGCGTACCAATTCAGCCAAACATCAGGCCAACGTTGGCAATAAAAAGGTATCATCTCCTCAGCATTCTTTTTTTCGTCCAGATAGGCACGGCAAAAATGCTGTGAGTAACTGCATCTTTATGGTGATCAACGGGATCAAAATTTATTTATTGTTTTACTCTCATTTTTGTTCAGTTATACGATTCTAGGTGTATATTTGGATTGAAAATGGGATTTACTTTCAATCTTTCATGAACGAGAGAGCCAGAGTGAGGTCAAGCAAATGAATCGGGTTCATTTTTCACGCGTAATTGGAATACTGTTCTCGTCTAATGACGAATCAAGTTTCAGCCTGCTGAGACGACTGTACTTCCTGTGAATCCGATAGTGTCGTCAGCTCCATTACCGCAGTTACCAAATACGCCGGGTGTGGAGGCATTTATGGGAGGTCGGGTCCCCATGAATGGCCTTCCAGCCATGTTCCAAAGCGTTCCGGATCCCCGACTCGCCTTTCTCAGCCCCCAACAACAATATGCGGCTGCATTTGCTATTGAGCAGGTTAGTCATTTCTTCAATCATGTTATTTATTGTTTTCTTGGCAGATTTCATTTATTCCTGAGGCGTTCCGTTTATTACATGGAATAGTCGATTTATGTGAGCTAGTTCCACTGCTGAATAGATTTCAATCGATAATGAAATGACAATGGAACTTATTTTCTCGCTAGAAGTTTGCAAAATTGAATAACAGTATGATCATGTTTTCATTGCACTACTTCCCGTATGTAATGAGGTATTTTATGTGATGAGCGTTATCGATAAAATTGATTTTGTGTGTAATTCAACCAGTGAATGGATTTTTTTTAGAGAATAGATGTTTTGCAGCATGCAGCTCTTCATAAGCAAATGGAGCAACAGATACGCGCACATCAGATGGAATTGATGCGTAATGGTGGTAATGGAGCAGTTACACCAACTGCTACGGCCTCACGGGATACGCCATCACGAGGAGCTGCAGCTCATGCACTCTCTGCGGCGAATATGATGCCATCGGCATACCACGGTTTCGGTATGGACCCGCGGGCATTCGCAACGCTTATGCATAATCCTCAAATGGCAGCGCAGTTCGGTATTGGCCTGGATGGTCATACGGCGGCCATGATGAATGCACTCGAGCAACGATCAGCTATTGAGCAAAGAATGCTTGGTGAGTTTTCAAACACTTAAAGTTACTGATTTTTTTAACGGTAGCGGGATGATGCTGATGGTACTTTATAGTAGCCCAAATGGGTGGACTAGACATGCTTGCAGCAGCTGCTGCTGCAGGACCGAACGGCAATCTGGCAGTAGTGTCACAGTCAAACGCACAACCAAACACGAATGCACCTCCACCCCCGACTGCTCATCTACATCCACATGCAGCTGCGATGATGCAGCATGCTGCTGCGGCTGCTGCAGCCTCTCAACCGAACAGTAAGTTGCACTAATGATTCGTTGCATTTTAGTTCTTATCTTTTTTTTTTGCTGAATAAATATCTTTCAACTTGTTTGATAAACGCATTTGCAGTATTATTCACAAGAATATTTCCGTAGAATGATTTCTTCGACCGAATCAGCATCATTCTTTAAAAAATTTTCAGTACCATTGAAATCTGTCAAATTTCGTAAAATTTCTCTACGATTTACTTGTTCTTCTCTAGGATTTACTTCTCGCAGACGACAACTGTACGAACAGAGACCTAGTGAACATGAAATAATTCTTTCTTCTGAAAATTTGCTGTCATTGTTTCTTTTTTTGGTTTTCCTTTAGACTGGTTGGTAATGTCTGCGAATGATTCCATCTGATTTTGCAATGTTAAGGTGAAGCTATTCAATTGCAACAACTTCTTGCACTATCGGCAGCAGCACAAGCTCAGCGACCATTCATGGAGCAGAATCCTTTATTACAAATGTCAATGATGAATTCATTTGGTAGCGAAATGGCTTCTCGGATGGTGAATCCAGGTGCGCTTAGCTCAGATATGATGCGACGTCTACAGCAAGAGGGTGGCTTCACGCCTCCACAACAAAGACCGTGATCGCGCATCATCATCATTACCTAATAATAATGCTCATGTGCAATGCTTTTGACTTGTGCATATCTCATACAACCACCACCCTTCCACCCCAATGTTTTCCTCTCATCGTTTGTTGTACTCCTCGCTTAATCGGTGTTTCAAACCAAAAATTCTTTCATGTTTCGTTCAGCTGGCATTATACCGGTATATGAGTGTTGTGTTTCAGTTACTTCATTGCAGCTGTATAAACACTAAAATTATCTGTGACGCATGCTGGTTTGCATCGTTCCAAGAGATTAAATTGATTCAATGGTATTCGCGTCTTTCCTTGTCTCTATTTAATAGCCAGCATTCTTCACTTATGAATTGAAGCTTATTTACTGCAAGGTTTATTTTTACGTCAATTTGCAATGTTGTACATCCGCTTCGAATCGAAATCAATCTCGTTTTTATCAGGGAGAAGTGAAGTTTGAGATGTGGGATTAAGCTTCAAATTGTTTTTTTTTTTAAACTTTACTTCTGAACGAGTGAGATGGTCATGAAACACTCGTTATGGGTATATCGTTGTGTTTGATGATGGAAAAGAGGGTCGTTATTCAAAGATTAGCACTTTATGATATTAATTGTAACTGCCTCTATCAATCCGTCTCTTTCCTTTTCTGCCATAATTTGTCCATCAGCACTGATATGTTTTTTTTCTCAGTGATTTTATGTGTACAATTCAATATCGTTAGTTCCTTGTATGGTTCAAATTTGACAATGTAAGCTTATCGTATTCTTATCAGTTTCACGTTGAGGACCATTTCGGTGAGGTACTGAGGCTGAACCAAATTCCGTTGAAGGGTTCATATTTTCTGTACTGATCAGTTTATGAACAACCAGAAAATGCAATTTTATAGCACTCGAACGATAAATATGTAGTGATCGCTATCCCTTTCGGTAGAATTCGAAAGATGATGTGCTGATTCAAGCCCAACTATTAACTTTAAGTTTTGTCGAACGCCTGCCTCGGGCGTCAGCCGTTTATTTCTTGCGAATATTTCATCAGACGATCGTTGGAATTTTCTCATTTTATTTCAGAATCAGTGATTTTTTCTTTCGTTTATGATTATGTGTGAGATGGGTTCGTCGTTCGTTCTTGTTAGCCTGCAAAATTCACGGAATATTACATCTGATTTGATTTAGTCATTTTACGTTTTGTTGTGCAAAACTGAAATATTGTTTTTATCGCCTCATTTTTCGCATCTCAAAACAAATTTTAGATATTGGCGCTTCTTTTTTTCCATCCAGTCCTACTGCAGTCCACATCTCCGCAGTTTATTTATTTTTTCTCATACGTTCCATCTCGTTGTATGCATATGAAAGTCCCTGTAAAAAGAAAAGCAAATCAGAAGCTAATTGAGGAAAACGAGAATGATAATGAAGAAAGTACGTGAATGTATGAAAACCTCACTTATGTCGTTACTGCAAATCTGATGTTTCATGATCTCACCCAATAATCGTCGTTAAAATTATTTTGATTATGAAAATATCCTCAGTTTCTCCATCATTATTTTCAATTTGGAATGCATATGAATTTTAGACGATATGTTTTGGTTACTTGATGGGATTATCGCTGATTCTGAGGTATATTATCCTTATGCAAGCGTGAGTATCAGAAGATTGCGGTGAATAGACGAGATGATGGAAATCTTTAAAAGCTCTCCACATTTTCCATTCAAGGAGGATTAGGTATTGTTAATATATGTACATTATGCTGTTTTCATTTGTAAATCATCACGTGTTATCATTTAGCTGTTGTGACAAGGCTTGTTGTCCTCTTCGGTCAGTTTGACTAACTGATTGACATTTCTAGAACTGGTTTAAGTGGCTCAATTCGTTTTTAGTTGAAAAGTTGTTGCGTGGAACGAAAGCTGAAATTCGTTAGCGCCTAATCAATTTTTACTAGATTTTAGTTCATTTCTAAAAGAGTATGAACTTCCAATACAAAGTGTGGGTGTTGAAATTGATTACTTTTTATTGTTAGCTGTTATCGAAAGGTCGTACTTTTGGATGGAAAGGTGCTTGTTACGGCGGTCATACTGTCGTTCTTATCTGTTGGAACATGTGGTTCTAAAACGGATTTTATTTGCTTTTGTTCTTTGATGAATATTGTTGTATATCAGTTGTGTTTAACACGCCAACTTCCCGTTCATATTGGCTTTCATCTCAGTTGTTTCGTTCGTTTCGCAGCCTTTAGGGCACTTTTTTGTTGTGCCTTTGAAGTGGTTCATTTTGCGCATAACTTTTCGTTTCTTTTGTGTTGATTGTTTATACTTGTGTACAGAATAACATAATATAATATAATGTTTACATTATCAACTGATTTGTACTCGCATACTCCATTAATTAATTAAAATCCTAACAAGCAGTTGTACTTTACCAACGTCACTTGCTCTCTTCAGTTAATTTTTTTCGCAGCACAATTTGAAATCAAACTTTGTCGTTTCGTTTGAAGTTCGTAAGGGATGAAATAAAATGGCACATGCCCGGACGCGGGAACTGGAGTAAACGAAAATTCCGAGGAGTACTCATTCGAATTATCGGCATTTAAGAGCTAGTGTTCAATTTGTGGCCATGATTGCTTCATCTGCTCATCCGAAATTACGTCATTAAATTCATCAGAACTACCTTGTTTTTGAAGAAATGGAATTCTAGAAAAATGTGGTAGTTAAGTTTTTAGTCAATTTTGCAGTTAGATCCCCATGCTCAAAAGCGGGCTCGACATGATTGAAAACGAAAAATTAGGCGGTTTCTATGCTTGTGCATTAATGGTTAATTGGGTACGAGTTTATTTCCAATAATTAATCAGATTATAAATGCAATTGACTTATTACCAGAATAATTTACAATTCAGAGAAAATTGTTACAGAATAATCGTACTTTTGGACATGGAGCATTAATTATCAGTCCGTTCACGAATAATTAGTTTTTTAGCTCTATCCATGCCGAGCTTCATTTGATACAAGTTGTCGACTGTCTCTTTCTTAGGACATAAACCCAAACAACCACGATGACGTAGCGTCAGTACACGTTCCAAGTCGTCATATACTGCGCTTGATAATTCGGCTAACATCCTTCTCATTTCTAACTGAAAATACACCAAATCATTCACTGAATATCCTAATGAATTCTGTCCCTTAATTGTTACTTAGTCGCACTGTGGTTAACACTTAACGGATATGAAATTGCCAAAATCATTTTATAGTCGTCGACATTAGTTGAGTAATTTCTGTGCATGGAACGAAAATATTTGTTGCTCGGTGAAAATGTCAGATGATGAATTATTGTGTGAAATTATTCAACCAACTTGATATTTGTTGAACTTAAGCAACCATGCAACTCTCTCTTCACTGATTCTTGCGTTATCGATGTTCAAACGAATCAGTCGTTCACATGCACTCATTTCTTCGTCCAAATTAATGAGAAATGGACGAACTTTGAACTGAAAAAAACTCATCAGAACTAACTTGTTTTTGAAGAAATTGTCATCAATGACACCATCGAGTATTGTTTCAAGCTATTTTCTTGGTAGTCTTTCGTATGCTTAGATGCAAGTACAACTGTCACTTTACGTGGTGGGAGAAAAAAGACCATGACTGAAAGGAGAAAAAAGAACTATGCGATTTACTTGGTTCATAAAAAGAAAACTCACTCGAAGTTCATGCAGTAAATCGGCATCGCTCTCATTTTCATCGCATACATCACGCGAAAAATCACCAACTAAACCAACGATTGTTTTTAACTGAAATATTTGACGCGATCCCCTTATGGAATACATATGATGAAAGTTTAAGCTATACAACTGATATTTTTCGTTGCATTTAGTTTTTCTGGTGCTGCTGGCATACGATAAATGAAAATTTTATTTCAGAATTTCATTCTGTTAATAAGATTGATCGATGAAAAGCAAATGAGACCTGAGTGCAAATGTGGCATAGTATTGAAGTGAGCTGCATTTTATCAACGATGTTCTGTTCAGATGGATTCGAGGTGATGTCCAGCGATTGTTTGGTCACTGATGGGATTGTGTTTGAGTTGCGACTAGTGGATGTGTAGCAAGACGTTTCGGCAGTGGACTCATCTTGTACACCACAGTTCAACATGTTTAATTGTTGTTTGATCAGATCTTCAATGCAAACAATGTCACCAAAATGATATTTCAGTGAGTCAAACAAATGATGATGCAGCTCGCCAATATCATCAAATTGTAAACCCATTTCTAGATAGGAACGTTGAAAGCTATTCATTCACCTCAAAATTGCATTCAGGGCTCACACTGTGCGATTAGTTTTGGAGCGTAAGCTAATTTTTCGAAGAGTGATTGAAGAAGACGAAAGTTACAAATTGAAGAGTTATGTGGAAGCACATGACTAGGTGACACTGTTGTTTCTAACCTGATAAACCATCTCTTTTTCAAATGGAAATTTGAGAGTGACCAAAAAAAGAAGGGTGGTCGCTGATGAGGGAAGCGACAGAAGAGAATTGATGAGCTCGTAAGAATGCGGTGCATATTTTCGAGGACATTGTTTTGTATGATTTGAACAATTGATCACTTTAGATGTTAATTGTGCGGATTGGCGTGAAGGACCTTGAAATATGCTCAACCAAATTATAGTTAATCGTTGATTGCTATCCAACTGATACCTGTTTTTGATTTAGAATAACGAAATGCTCTAATTAAATACGAACAATTGAATATGTTTTCCACTATATTACGACACTCATTTTAGGTAGTTTAAAAGTGTGTGATTCTGATTTTTAGACAAAAATTTGAGTTCCGATCCTTTAAGCCCTCATCAAGCACTGCAATTGAATAAAAAGATAAGCGTTAATTAGTCTATTAAGGAGTATCAAAGTATCAAAGCGAGTTTTAAAAAAGGACTAATTGAAATTTCACTTTATTTAACTTTCTGTGGCTTTTTTACTCTACTGTAATGCCGGAAAGTTTGATAATCAATCAACCAAAACGTCGCAATATAAATCAAGCATTATCATCAGCATTTAACATCTGCACTTGAATTCTTATGGTCTAGTCTGACAGTCGAAATTTTATCGACAATGTTCTATGATAACTGCTGATCATCTCGAGAGTTATTTCAAAAATTGCACATGCAATCGATGTGCACATATCAGACCGATTGCCAAGTTAACATTTGCTGAGGCAGTCGATCGCTACGGAAAGGTTTCACTTTAAAGTTAAATTGATTCGTTCCTTCATTCAATACAATCGAATATTTTTTGCTCCAAATACAGTATTGTTGTCCTCCAAGTTCCAGTGTAATCTCCAAGAAATTATTAGCAAACAAGGGCATCGTTTAAAGGAACCGGAGAACTAACGTTTTCGAAAAACGGTTGGCATCAGGTTGGCACCAATGTACTAAATATGTCAACCAATATTCAATTAATGATGGTCACTGTGAATGAGACGAGTTCTTAATGAAAGAATAAGACATATGGCGCTCAGCTCCACTACTGATTGAACCGAATGATTGAAATTCGTTTATCGATTTCACAAAAACTGGAATTCTTCTAAATCAAATTAATGAATATATACTCGGTTATGCACCTATTGTATAGCGCCATTCTCTGGTGCGCTGTCATGAGACTATTAGTGCGATTCGCTTTTCATTCATAAATGCCACCTGCGAATGCGAAATGATTCTTTCAAATGCAAGCATTTTCAACAATCACAGCTGAACAAGCAAGCGTCGAGCAGAATTCGCAAAATGTGATAGTGTTTAACAGCAAAGTATCATGATGAGTCGACGTTTCGTACCTCTCAGTTACTTTATTGATAAATTTATGATTGAACGTTATGTCTGAAAACTAATTTAAAGAATGACTCGATAAGCTGCTGATTGCAAGTTGCATCAATTGCCTGTAGGCGGTTACTCTTTCTGTAATTGCAAAGGTGCGACTGATGGAAACATTGTGAATACAGACGTTCCGTACTATCACGAAGATATGCATTCGAATAACGAGGTTTGCAAAGAAATTTTCAGACACGTCATTATCTGATACACACACAAAAAATCAATCAGAGAATGATCAGTAGTGCATCAATTCTAATTTAACTAATTTCATTCATAACTGTGACTGACAATTTTGTTTCATGACGAATAAGTAACATCGTTAAAATGAAGAGATGAAGATAAATTCTTTGAAAAAAAAACGAACTTTAAGTGTAAAATGGGAACAGATAAATTGGAACTCATTAAAAGTCCCGTTACACCACGAGGTGAGTTGATGATGGTATTGCATATTCTACTAAGATTCATAAAACACATCAGATAACAACAAATGATTATCATCCTCGTTTATCACAAACGCAACAATGAATTGATGAAGGCAACTTGTCATATCAATCGTGCCAAATTCGTAAGAGATGACAAAAAGAAATGGATCATTACGACATTGCGGTGATAATGTATCATGTCAGAGGAGACTTTAAAATATTTGATGCACTAAGAATAAACACTGTCACATATTCAGATGCATATGTGATTGATGCGTTTTGCAAACTCCTTTATATCTTTATTTATTCCTTCATTCGCTCATCATTACAATCACCATTATTATTATTACAACTTCATCATCATTATTGTTGTCAGTCTTATTGGAGCACTCATAACGTTATGATATGTAATATTCCTCCCAATTATGAAGTTTATTTAGCGGATCTATAATCAGATAGATGCATATATCATAACTAAATAGCGAAAAACGTGAAAAACTACATTTGATGACAGACTCCATTTGTGATTTTAAAAACCAATATTAAGTTTGTTATCCAAAATTGCATTCGTAGCTTATGCATGAGTTTCCGATAAGCTGTATTATGTATCACGAATATACATATGGTCTGCTATTTTTGCACTTAGGGAGTGACTCAATGTTGACTTGCTGCTAACTNCCCTAAGTGCATGCCCAAAATGGATTAATCGAACACCTCTGAACAATATTCGAATACTTCGACAGTTCATATCGGGATCTTCTTAGCAAGAATACCTTATAGTTAGCTTAGCAGGAATATCAAGAATGGAACGTTATTACGTCACTATTTTAGTATGGAAATATTTTAGCATAGAATATTTTGTCTTTGCACTAATGATGTTTCTAGTTCAGTCAAACTGTTTTATTCTTGTTCCGTTGCCAAGAACGGGACAGAATAGCTTTCAAAAAACAAGAGTGGAGGACAGAGTAGAAGAGAACAGTTCAAGGTGCGGAGAGATTACAGAACATAATACAAGCTTTCAAAAGTTTGCAAGAAACTTCGGGTATATTGCTTTACAAAAGAAATAAATTGCTGATCGCATATTTAGATAGTAAACTGAATGAGGACGCACAAAGGAAATGTGCGTAGGAAAAAAAATAATAGCGTTCATCAAGAAGGAAACAAAAAAAATCAATGCGAGCAAACTAAATAGTTATGAGCGAAATAAATGCTGAGCATCTCAAAAGTAGTGTCATGAAGTGAAATACGACAATGAAAAATGACATTATTCAGTTGAAGAATAAGGAATATAAGAATGAATACGGGTGAATAATGAAACTTTTATCCACTTTCCATCAAAACAAACTTCATTAACCAAAAAGAAATTCGGAACCGCAGATTATATGAATTCATTGCCTAAGCAGTTCTCTTAAAATCCCTTAAACTGTCATCACAAACAACCAAATAACCCATGAACATTCATTTAATAAACAATAATTTAGCGACATTAAACCAGTCGTCTTTTGCAATATCCACCACTTCACTCGATGCAGGAAATCAACTGTCCCAAATCTTTCGGCATCAAAACAGCCTTAGGTCAAAGCGTTTAGTGCCAAAATGTCTTCAACGACTTTTCCCTCTTCAGCATTATTTCACTTAAACGCTGAAAATTAAAAGTATATCGTGGATCAATGATCGAACGTTCAATATTTCAAAATAAAATCATGAGCGATGAAATTAAATTTTTGAGAGATCTCGTTTGATTCACCTAGCAGCGCTTTTCAGAGTAGGATTTTCTTAACTATTATTCTTATCATCACTTTAAATCATACTATTTGAACTCTAACATATATCTGAGCTGAATCGAAATATTTTGTGAAGAGTAGTAATAATGATTCAACTGAAACATTCATTTTTCGAATTTGAATCAAATATTACAGTAATTTGCTTTATCACTGTCATTCCAAAAGTTCCACATAAAATATTATGATACTGCTACAATCCCATTTTGTCAGCGTTGTCGTCATTAATATACATATTTTAATTAACGTTACTATTGTCTAGTTCTATAGGTTTTTGGCACTCCATTAAATGACCATGTTTCAATTATTATCATCTGCTGATGTCTCATTGTTGTTGAAAAGTATTTAACGAAACTCTCAAATATTTTCGTTCACCTCTGAATGAAACGAAGCAAGACACTGTTTCTATTAAAAGTTTTGCCTATTGTTAACGGTCGCTATCTGAAGTTATTTCTGTTTATTTGTTGCTACTTTCCATATTTTGTCGATATTTGTCAAAATTCGTACCGCGACGAAGCGGTCAAGCGGTAGAGACTTTCAGTTTGTCATTGTTAATAAAGATTAAGCGAGAAATAATTTCAATCTGTCTATACTTGTTGCGTAAAAAAAAGCAGATTTTTATGAAATACTCAGCTTCTTTTTTCGCTCTTCTAAAAGTCACAAAACGTTTCTCACTGAACTGATTTTCTTCCTCAAATACTCAGCATAATATTAAACATGAAACGGTCAGTTTGAATCATTTAGATCTGATGGAATGCGCATCAAAACAAATCGTTTGTAAAAAACCTTCACATGTGAATACCAACACATTTATTGAATAATTATCACATCGAATTTATTATATGAGTGTTTGATAATGACAAATGTGAATGCATTAACTGAGAACAACAATACTGCAAGTTAAAGCTGCGAACAAAGAGGAAGAATATACAATGAGCACAAAATTATTTTACGTACAAATAAGAGATACTACAATTACCAATTACAAAACATACACATATGATGCGGCAGAAAAAGAATCATTGCAATTGTGTGATGGGGTAATTTTACAGTTAAATGTAGGCAATAATAATCAATGTGATCAGGCAAGTAAGACAATGATGATGGCAATGCGGTGGTGATCGCAACTTCAAGATTCGATCAGTGGTCACTCTTCAAGCACGTACAACAATTTTTCGGTAGCATCAATCGGAAACATTACTTCACTATGCTTACTTCATAATGATGAGATCGTCATGCTGAAAATTAAAACTTTTATCCCATTCAACTGACTTCTTTCATCAGAACGCTGGTTCATTCAAGGCGGATATTTTTTCATCAACGAAATACGACAATCGTTATAGCAATAATGAAACACTACTAAATAAGTTCACAAAGTATATTATGAATGTGTAATCAAAAATTGTTCACAAACCCATTGGATAACTGCGTCGTGGGCTCGACTCCCGTGGACACGCCGCCGTTTGATTCGTGGATTTTGCGGAGTCTGAAAGTCCTCAACTTTTATACACAAATTTCAGCAAGTGAGCAAAAAATCAATTGCACATCGAATTCATCAATTATGCAACTTTCTTTAATTTAACGAAATCTAAAATAAAATTTGATTGACCTTTTGCAAAGTCAGTCAAATTCCATTTCACAAAATGGTGTCCTTACTAGTGTTTGCACGAAATCCCGATATCTACTTTCTGAAAAATCTCGGGATTTGATGAAAGAGGGCATTTCATTTCATTTTGGTTGTACATTCATCTTGAATCAGTCATTCGTAATCAGTAATATTATACCTTGGTTTCAGGTCTAAAAATGCTATTACCTGTATGCCTGTTAGATGAATTATTTTTATGAATACACCGATTCAAAAAGGATGTGTCGAGCAAATGACACTTCTGTATTTCTAAAACTGCTGAAAAATGCTCTGGATTTTGCAAACACTAGTCTCTACTCATGTTATGAAGAACACTCCTCACTTTTCGAAACAAGAAATTCCAAACTGAAGAAACGGTAAAATCGAACAGATGCACTCAAACTTTGCTCATAAAGAGACAAGCGAATATCACAAACAAACTTCCAGTAAAGCAACACTTCGTGCAACTATACAAACTGAATGAAGATAAGAATGGAATACTGCAAAAAAATTTTAGACGATCACACAATACTTACCAAGACATAGCAATCAAACTGATCTTTGAAAAATATGACACAACACTATGAAACGAAACACGAACAACAAAAGCAATATGAAGACTTCTTAAAACTGACCACGCATGAACTGCATGACGTGTAGCTTGAAAACATTCAGTGTAAAATTATCAGTTAGTTATTTCTTCGATTATGAAGCTTTGATGAAAAAAGAACGAATAGTTGCCAATAATATTAACTGATGTAACGTTAGAATGCCTTGTGATTTCAAAAATATGAAGTGATCAACAGGAATTCTTCGCTCATTCAGAGCAATTGCTACCACAAAACATTTGCAGGTGAACCCCTTCCCCTCCTCGTTAACATATTTCAATCTTTCATTAATCATTCACTTGAGGCAAATCGTTTTCAACTTATGATTTCTGCCACCAAAAACAGAAATTCATTCTGTTGAAATCAACACAAACAAACAGAGGTCAACGGAACTTTTCATATTGAAATGAATCTTAAGTGAATAATGATCAGTGAACGCTCACTGACGAGATAAATGGACCTAGTTGTGAATTTGCTGTTTGATCATTCAGTCATTTAAGAATAGCATTTTTCTTAATGTTCAAGACTGTAGTGACGATGCTGAAGCATATGAAGATATATCACACACAGTATATTGCTGCGAACAATCACATTCCTCATAGTTGGTGAAGTGTAGTTCTGATAAACATTGATGACGTGAGGAGATATTGAAAAATGTGTTGAAATAAAGTACCAACTTTTGTTTTGACTGCCTCATGAACTTCTGAATCTTTCGTGCAGCTGCTTGTCGTTTCCTCTGATAATGACCCCTTAAAGTAAAGAAGTAAGCAGTGCGAGAGGTGTAAACACAACAGGATACTTCAATGTGACGCTTTCAAGAACACAATATATCGCTCAACAGTCACGACAATTATTGTGTCTTTTGCACTGAACAATTTAGAACAAAATTCAACGATGGCAAAACAACATTGCTGTACCTGTAAGCCTGCTGAATGGTAAGTGCAGCCTGATCTTCGGTCATTAACGATGAAACATGTGCGCTAGCATTGCATTGCTGGAATTGCGTTCAGTTACTCAGCATAAGATGTGATGGACAGCAGTGCCTTTTGACAGACAAATTCATTTCACTCTTACACTTATCACAAATTGAAAAGGACTTCGTCAGGAGATTTCACTTAATCATTTCGACTGATTGAATTGTTCAACATTACTTCCGAACAGTAGTAATTCTTGATTTGATAAATATTAATATTAATGGATCGTTGCTGTTTGATCCACTTAATGTGCGATGAAAAAAGTCGAATCAACCATCTATGATGCAATTCACATCATAAACAAAACAACATTTACACTGCGATTATGAACTCAATACGTTCTCTTATTGTTTGCACTTGATCAATAACAACCACTTGTCGACTTCCGAAGGTAATCAAAACATTCGAAGAAGAAGAATTATGTTCAAACAAACCGCTGACAAAGAAAAAGAATCAATGATAAATGTGATCGACGCATAGATGTTTCCCAAAATTCACTTATTGTTAGTAAAGTGTCATCGCACATTGAACTTATTTGTTATGAATCAGATCAAATGATATTTAGATGAATCAATTTTTCTGACGGATTATATTACAACGTCATAGCTCACAAGAACTGCAGTGTTTGCTCATAACAACAAAATATTGGGAAAAACATAATTCATAAATGAACCGTTAGTCTGATGCAGTCATCATTCAACGGTTCGTCGATATGTTGTTCTTCAGCACAGTGCAACGCTCTATGCATCCGGAAATGCTTCTGAATGAGCACAGCCGCCTTGTGAAGTTTTTTGAAATAACAGAACTGAAAAGAGAAATAAAACAGTCTGAAACACATTGAAAACTATCCTTCATCAACAAGTTCAATTTTGAAATTATTACACACTGCAGTAATAATCGTTTATTACGTCACAGTCTGAACGTAATTATTCAGTTTTATTCCGCGATCAGAACAACACTCACATCTGTGCATAGAAAAAAAGAGTTCCTTTTGAGCATGATCTTTAGTGGAACAATGCTGCATTTATTGTTACAAGTCAGTGAATATCATAGACGCATTCATTCACTTCCTTATTGACATTTTCTCATTCATAATATTCGAAACGAAAATGAATAAAATCTCGAAGAGGTTAATGTATAAATCATAACATTTTCACGACGATTACATCGAGCAATAATCAAAAGACAAACCGCATAAAAAACCATTAATGTTGCTGACCTGCTTATACCGCCTATAGTAACTCTGAATAACTACGGCTGCATTTCGCTCGGCTTCGTTCTGCTTTTGTGAGCTAATACGTGCTTTGTATTGCCGATAAGCGTGCTGAATGATTTTCGCTGCTTCATAAAGTTCACGTTGTTCACGGTCTGCAAATTGCTTCATCTTTCACAACGAAATGATACTGAGGCGTTTTGAACTTTATTTTTGAAGAAATAATTTCAAAAAATATCTAATGAAAGAATACAATTTAAGAGCATGATGAAAACTAAAAGAATCTGGAACAAAAGAACGATTTCACATCGATTCCATTCTGATCTCGAACAATCGATTACGGATTAAATTCTTAAGGCAAATATTTACGCTGTTATAAGTAGAAGTTGAATGAACTCAGCATTCAAATATTAATATCACATCACCTGAACTTGAAAAAATAAAAGCATGTGCTAAAATTGATCACAAATGTCTTTCAGAGAATAATCGATAAAAACTATTCGAAAACGATGAAGTAGCAGAGGTAGATTTCAAGAAACCTACAGATAATAAACTTCAAAATGATGGCAAAATGATAGAACGATGACGATGACTAGCAAAAAATGGAAATCGAACGTATTATGGAACAAGTGCAACATTCAGCTGATTTCAAAGCAGTTCAACTGGAACATTACGGTGTAGTCAAAATAATCAATGACTTCAAATTGCATTCACAATTTGAAGTGAAATTGTCAGATTGTCAATCAAATTGTCAGTGAAACGCCGATTGTATCAATTGCGAATGCTGTACGTGATCGTAAACTAACTGTGGTAGACGACGAATTGATCACATAAGAGAAGTGGTTTAACGAGGATATACCGAGAACGAGACGATGGGCTGGTGCACGGTGAATTTCCCGTCTGTTGAAAAAGGTGAGATGAGAAACGACTAGACAGGCTTTAAACGAGAAATGATTACAGTTTTCGAACGATTCCGTCGCTCGCAACAATTACAATATTGTTTTCTAAGTTGCCCTCAAACACACCTGGTGAAGCAAAGTTTACCATTTCACTGCTCATCTATAAATAAATTCTCGTATCCAATTCTTTACGCCATATCTTCCCTCTCTTATCATTTCGATTCATTTTCTGGGATCAGTTCAGTCTCTCTGGATTAATGTTGAACTTTTGTTACTAATTGAAAATACAAAAGATTGGGTTTCAATGAAGAATACTTCGATATAGTTTGGCAATTTCAACACATCTGGCTAATTTATGTGCAAAAAAAAGACGAAACTAAAAACGATCACGCACCTGCTAAACAAAATGAGATTAGATTAAAAACTATCCACGTAAAGATTGGCGGAAGGAGAAGAGACGAAAAAACTATCACAGTGATCTCAGGCGATCACGAGAAACGATAATGCTTTGGCATTTTTCACCTTTGCTCAATATCAATATACGCATTATGCGATAAATTTTTTCGAGTTTCGAAGTTCCTAACAGATCATCTTTTGGTTTCAAAACCTGTACGAAATTTGGCTTCAGAAAGAAAAAAAAACTTGTTGGAAAGTTAGTTGAGTCAACTTGCTCTTCCAAGGAGTTACAATGCTGATTTTACGGACTCTGGTGTTTCGAAAATTTCATCTCTAAAAATAATGCCATCCGATCTATGAATAATTATTATGGATAAGTTGTTCGAATATCTCCTTCGGCAAAACCTTTCAGACCATTTTTTTTCAGGAAAGGTTACATTCACTCGAAGGCACGATTTTGGAGGACAAAATCAACAAAATTTTAAAATTCGAGTACCACGGTGCCTAAGGTTCGAACAAATTGACCCCACAACCTTTCGAACTATTCTTTTTGGATCGAAATTCCATATAAGTTGTTTTTAAATGAAAGGCATAGTTTTCTGAACCAGCACATTTTAGAGTTCCGTTTGTAACACTCTAACATACACACTCGTTTCCTCTCTTGCACATGTTTAGTGCAATTTCCTTTAACACTGCGTCAATTAAATCATTTTATCGCACTGAGCGACAAATCTTTTCACGACCAGTTAACAGCAATTTTTGTGGTGATGAAAAGTCACATCAATGTGCTCAGTGAATACGCATGTGAAATATTTGATGAAAACACATAATTTCGATAAAACTCCCGAAGTATATTAGTGGATAAAAAAAGTTGACGACATAAAAATCAGTTTTGGTAAGTGCAAAAATTAATTCTAAATGCGCAACGAACTCGTTGTTGAGAAAAAAACATCCATGACTGGAAAGTATATTCGCAGAAAAGAGTCGAGATTGCATAAATTATGCATGTCATAATGAATCTGATTGAAGAGAGCAGTGAAAAACAAAATTACAACACTCAACCACAAACAGAAACCATACGCCTAGAAAATCGATGATAGTGATCACGAAATCAATTCCCGAACGAAAATAACAACACCTTGCTGAAGGACACTCAAATTTCTCGAGAACCATTCTGGTGAACTGAAAACTGAAACAGAAACTTTTGCTGACATGCAAATAATCTAGGTAGGCATTTCACTCTTTTCGCCTTTTCAGCATCACATGGACGATGAACTAACTCATCAAGTAATGATCAGTACCACATGAACGCGCTTTTTAAACAGAAAAAAACTTTGCGAGCGCCCATCAAAATCATTGGGCTTCTTCTCTTATGGCATGCAACATATGGCCTATGTTTTGTAAATTAAAGATAGAGAATAGAAGGAAAAAGGAAATTGACTACAGGAAATAAATCGGACAGAAACAATCACAAAATACCCAGTGTTCTCGATGAAGTTGCGAATTACCCACAAAAAAGATTCTTTTCATGTACATTACAGAGCATACCAATCGAATCATCACTCAATTGTATTGCAAGTAAACAATCGCAAAACGAAGACAACATTTTCACAGAAAAACATGATTATTTGAAAGAAGACAATTGAAAACTTGATATTGACGATTTGGTGAAAATTTACGAACGCAATCGCTCATAACCAAGAAACTGGCTGCAATAGCTAGAATAAATGTAGCCAGTTATAAGTATAATTTGGATGACGGCATAGGCACAGAAAACAAAAACAGAATAAGAAATGAAAGCGTAAAAAAGCTATAATCCAACCGCTCGATTTCATGCAAATAAAGTGTTGTTGTACATTCAACAAAGGAATGGCATAAAAGAAGCTAGCATTAAAATTGAACGAAACTCACAAGTTCTGAAGGAATGCGATGTACGATATCCATAAAAGTGGAACCTAGGAGATCCCATTGCGTTGTTCATAAAAGTAAGAATACAGATTTGGTAGTATCGATAATTGCAATAATGATGATAATAACAACGATGCTGAATGACTGCTCAGACTCAACAATGAATACAATGTACGTGCAGTGCAACCGGTTCAAAGAACGCACTTGACGATGCCGAACGTAACCGAATGCTTGTTTTTATAATCTATTCGGCAAATTGAACGAATAGGAAGAAGGCACAGAAAATTATAATGAACGATATAGCAAATTAAATAAGTGAATTATAAACTAAGTATACAGTGGAAATAACGACTGCTGAATGCTTATAGTAGAAGCGGTAGGTAACAAAATTGGGCAATAAGCTCAGCCGACAGCTATACAAGCGCAGTTCAAGTTTAAATCAACAACAACGCACATTGCTAAGCAAGAGGAGGTGCTTAGAACAGAACAAAACGCCTCCAAGGGCGGCACACGCTTAGATGTAAAAGTCACTTCTTTTCAGACAGAGATCTTTTCAATTGATCACCTCTGAAGATGTACTTTATATCCTGGAGTGATTTATCGCAGAAATTCAGGTCAAAAAATACGGAGAGCAGAATTGGCTCATCAGTACCCAGTGGACAATTTTGGTTCTATTGATAAAGATGGGAATTTTCCTTCCCTAATGATGGCAAAGATTCGCATTACAATTAGAATTATGTCTGATAAACCTTAATCAGTTAACATCTGCGTGATTGCGTACAAATTCAAAACAATTTAGTGAAGCAGAGCTGAGAAAAAACTCTGTCGGCCATTAATGGTGCAAACTGCCCAAGAAGACAGTTTCTTCTTCGGAAGCAGATAACTGGTCTGCTAACTACAAAGTAGAATTCCGCACAATACACTGAAGCTGACAATAAATCCAACAAACGAACTCAATGCGACTAACCAAAAAAAAGATGAAAACATTTCAACGGTTCCTAACTCAACATTCGTTGATGCTGTCCGAAGAATGCAAAATCAGCCAGTGTAAGTAGCATTTCACTGCGTCCAAGAGAAGTTTTCACAAGAAAATAAGCCCGGAAAATGGTCGAATCATCAACTCATACTCAACATAGTTATAAAATTAACTGAACTTAGTTCGATGGACGTGACTTTGGAATGAAGAACTTTGTGCAAACGTTGTCCGACACAATCAACTCACGATTGTTTTTCACAATTCAAATAATGATTTTGACTGGTGCAGTATGCAGCAAAAAAATGTGCATCCCACAAACGCCACGATCCCACCAAATTAAATATGAAAAACAGAAGATGAGAGAATTCATACAAGAAAATTTCAGAAGCGGCAGCAAAGAAGGAAAATAACTGAAACAGCCTCATAATTAGGGCAAGAATTGCTTGCTCAATCGATCTCTTACTAAACGCCTATCTTTTTCATGAGAGTTACTAATATACATCAAAACAAAAACGTAATCAAATGCTTAAACCATTACCAAATAAACCAACTTCAGTTTGTTCACCATATCCATAAACAATAAACATAATACGCTAATGTGGATGTCAATCAATCAAATCGAATACTTGCATTAGTGCAATACTATTGTAATCTCATTGAAATATTACACCCATAATCCCTGCTGATCGTCAGCTGACATTGCATACTCTTTATCAACGCTTGTCAGTCTACCACCTACGGTCTAAACTGACCCAATCCGTCCATTTGTATACGTACACGATAAATACACAACGGTAATGTTTCATATCATGGGTCAGTTGAAAATTTGGATGTGTAAAAGTTGTCCGACAATTCACACTTTATATTATTTATTATGAGCAAGCAAACGGTGAATATTCTCATCCAAAGTCCTACTTCAGTTTCAGGCCTACCCAATCAGCGTTCATCTGTTTCAATAAATTACAGGTCAGTTTGAACGAAAATGCTACAATTTTAGCGGAGTTTTCACCACTCAAACGTTTTCTCGAAGCTTGAATCAATCAATCCGTTAGGAATTTGTTTTAATTCGATCACCTATCCGTTAAGAATGCAAAAAACGCGACCAACGAGAACTGTTTCCTCATGATACAATGAATGTAAGAAACTAAAATTCAAAAATGAAAAACCTGATAATCGTAAATCGCGAAAGTGCCGTTCTAACGGCCCCATAACGCCTTCTGTGTTGAAAAATTCGCCAAGATCCCTAAAGTCGTTAGATGAGTACAATAAAAGATAACTGATAAACAAACACCTGTTGCTGATCAGAGCAAATTGAACCGTAAAAATTTTGACCATGAAGACAACTGACTTTGTAGACGTATTCGGCGACGAATGATCATTTGCACTCTCTGTGGGATTGTTTATTGATTCAGATGGGAGAGTGTGAAAAGTGGACGAAGACGACGAAGCGTTCAAAACGTCCAGTGGTCCTCCCACTTCATCATGAGCGATCAAAACCTCATTCCTAGCACGGTCCATGAAATTCGGAGACGTGAACCTAAAATAATACATAACATTAGTGAAAATTATTGTTACACCTATACTTATCAATAACGTTCATGAAGTGAGAGAGCAGTGAAATCTGCTGAGCCATTCTTGTTGAGTGAATAAGTGAATTCAGTTTGAATTAATGCAAAACTACTGCAATCAGTTCATAAATATATTTAATCGTAAAATACGATTTATTACTTCTATTATCATGATCCAGTCACGATACTGATAATACAAATACTAATTGTAAGTGGGTTGAAATTGAACTTCTAGTAGGTTAAAATTCATCAAATTCAGGACATCACTTGCAACTAACAATAAATTTTTGAGGATAACGATTAAATGGGACGAACCAACAAAAGTGAGCGAAATGATGAGATACTGAAAATATTATTCAGTTGAGTAATAAGGAGCACACTCTCGATAATGTTTAGAGTTATTTGAATTAAACTGTGCTCAATTCAAATAACTCTAAACCGAAATACAGACGAGTGTTAAATTCAAATTAAAACAACAACTCATAAGTGGTGTTGTCGAGCGGCGTCACCAATTCCTCCCATTCACTCGATGATCTCACATAAGCATTGCCAAGAAAAGGATTTCTCGAGTGTATCGAAAGACCTGACGATTCAGACGGCTCCGACAGACCGCCAACATCATCCACAAAATTTGGATCAGCTGCTTCATTGAAACTCTAAACTCACAAAGAAATATAAGAACATTTGTTTTCAATGCACGAAGATACGAAACTGATACTCCATCACATCACTATTTTCGTTGTGACCTACGCTCACTTATCTCACTTGGACATCTTGTAAGTTATAAAATACTGATTCATTTAAATGTGAAAATATTGTATTTTTCGCGATGAAAACACGGAGAATGAAAATCTTTGACAACGAAACAGCATACTCGTTTGTCGAAGGCAACTAGACGATGCGCAGTTCAATAAGCAAAAGCGGCCCTGCAAAGAAATATACAAAAATGAATTTGAACCTTTATTCTTGCAGGCAGAGCATCAATGATCTGTTGCGCTAAACTTGCCATTCGCGCACGAGCTCCTTCACTAGTAGCATCATCGCTGCTGAAAATTACCGAATGGATAGTTGCCAAACATGGACGAAACAAGTAAATGAAGGTTAAAAAAAGGGCAAGTTGAAATTGATTCGGTTACTTGTGTATACCAAAATTATAATAAAAAATTTTTTTGCATAACAAAATTTTCGACAACAGAACCTCGAAAGAGCATTCCACATGTCAGCTGTAGTTGGCGAATCTGGAATATGTACATCCATAGCCAACGTATCATCCATCCAACCACCTCGCTCAAGATTTTCCTAAAACTCTGATGAATCACTCAATGGCATCACTCATTTGATGACTGTCTTCGAAAGCAAAGTGCTGCAATAAAATCTATTCAAATATCATAATGCATTGCTCTTTCAGTCATAAGTGATATAATAACAATGATTTCAGCTTACTTTTACAGCACATTTAAGTGAGTACGTTCCAAAGCAAATAAAATACAACGCAGCGAAAAAAAACAGAAACTTTGGCAAATAAAAATGAAATCAACCAAGTAACTTACACAATGATGAAGTTTATTGGCACTGAGAGAGGAACCATCATGATGAGAATCGTCAATATCAGAATACTCATTTAACGATTTGATCGATGAATCGCCACCACCATTCTCCTGGAATGTACCTTCGATTAAACAATTCTTGGACTGAACTTACTACACATTTATATGCCATATGCTGTCTCGACGGAATCCTCACGACTCCGAGCCAATAAATTAGCTGAACGCGTGCTAAAAGTGATGCTGAACATGATTTACTGGCTGCCTGTCCATCACTGCCGTGATTCACTGGCAACTGCTGCCAAACAGGCATATCTATCTGCATATAAGACATGATGTAAGGTACATTATAACTGTTTCGTGCATTGCCGCAATGAAACGCCGAAATGTACCTGCAGCATTGTTTGGCGAGAGGATGATGTTATTGTGGAGGTATTTGCTAAACGTTGCTCATCGGTAACTGTTTCACCATTTGTCATCACCCACAATGCGGTGGAATTGATCGATTCTTGAGACTGACCGCATCGGTCATCACTAGCTTCAATTAATATATTTAAGGCCATATGAGCGAAACTTAAACAAGTTGGCATAATATAAATCAAGTCAAGCTAGATTTAGATGGGCATGTAACCCTCAAGTCAGAACATCAGTTTAAAAATGAAATCAACATACAGTAACATACCAAAAAAATGATCTCCGTGGGCAAGAAAATAAGTGGATGAATTCTGGATAAAGAAGTGCATTACGTCAAGGGGCTCGATAATGAGCAATAAAAATCACCTTTTGCTTGGTGTCTAACGGTATCAATAGTTTGTTTGTATGAATTGATGATATGTGAATTTTGTGACTTAAAGATCAAATCTTGCGGAGTTTCACCCCGGTCATCCAGCACATCCACTGAGCTGGGGCAATTTGAGATCAAAATCTGGATACTATTGAGGTTAGCATGCAGCACTGCCAAATGAAGTGGTGTTCGACCTTCTGCATCTCTCGATACTACATCCAAATCACGTATATAGTACTGTGATGAGATCTCCGATCTGCAATTAATGTGTTTATTATGCAACAAAACGCAAACAATACAGAATGCTGCACGATACGTTTGTCCTTTTTCAGGTTGAGAATTTCACAGAAATCTTCCACTCACTCTACTTTCATTCAAATTTAAGTGCTTAACAACCATTGGTTTCGATGACTGTATACTTCAAAGTCTCTTGAGAAGCTGTTTTGCACACAGTTTATGCAATGAAAAACTGCAGCAGGCAATCAGACCAGCAATAACGTTCACCTGAATTGAAGAACGGACTGTATCAGACGATGGAAATTCAGCATTGCACATAAATGCAACAACGAATTATCGTTGCGCATCGTGGCTGAACGATTCGTAAGGAGGTTATAATCAAACGGATAACGCATCATCTCACTCCAAATCTCCAAAGCTACCGTTTCTGTATCTAATTCTGGTAGCTCTCGCATCTTAAACAGTTTCAGTTCTTAGACAAACATACAGCAAGCATCATCTAAACTCTCTTAGCTGACATGAAATCAATCCTCTATTATTCAGAAATACGTATCTCAAGTCAAATAATTAACGTCACTCATATTTTAATTCCACATTCTCAGCATACCGTTAAAAAATTACCTTCAACAGTTTCGTTCCGCGTTATTCATTTCTAACATACGTTACGAATGAAAAACAAATTTTTCAAAATAAATACTCACAGCACACTGCGATCGATCAGTAATCATGCACGAATGGAAGAATCGCAAACGTTCACTAATTTCTAACAGAACAGCGCTCTGGCCACCGGTTCTACTCATGTCCAAATATTCAAATTGCACAGCATGTGAAATCAACAACCCATCACAGTAGACTTCAAGTTTTACAACACCAGCATTATGAGCTGCAATCGATGATTGCATTTATTTTCATCAACTTACTACAAAACGAAAATGCAACAATTGATCAGATCAGGCTTAATACTGCTGTGATGCATCAGAATATGATGACAACAATAGATATGCGAGCTTCGACAAGTGCAATCAAAGAATGACAGCAATGAAAACAAAAATACTAAAAAAAGAAACTTACGAGGCGCGAAACATCGAAGCACTCCGGCATGAAAAAGTGTTGCAGGAACCTGTTGGTCGTCAAACATTACCGTATAATCATGCCCACGTAAATACCATCCTCCAACTATCAAAACTTTTGTGCCACCCTTAAATTACGTTAAATGGAACAAATTAATTAAAGTTCATTTTGATCAAAAATCTAGCAGTTTGCCCTATCCAAGAATTCAACCGATGTAAGCCCGAAATTACTGATTATCAAATAGCGAATATCGCATCGCGTTAACATTTCGGTTAACGGTGCCCATCTCTGAACATAACTAATAAATTATTGCTACGAACACACTTCCGCATGCCTGAACTAGATACGGTTTAACTGTCATTAGTTGATGCAGTACAGCAAACGTGCGCATATCTTAAAATCAGTAACACACAATATGATAATATGGATAAAATTGAGTTGAATGAGCAATGTCACAATGATAGAATGTCAAGCTGATTAAAGTTTACGCGGAGCGGTGATCGGTCTGGCGAGAGATCAGCAATCTGAATGAGAGGTGTTGAGCATGAAGCGGTATTATGTTGTTGACTAGTGGCGCTGTTCGACTGAACCGCTGCAATCGTACCACACCTTCGCAATTCGCATGCCAAATTACTCTAAAAGTTAAGACTCATCGTTTGCACTTCATTCATTCCCAACATCAAGCATACAATTCATGAACTTATACTGTTATTCAGCTGCACTCAAGATATCAAGCAAAAATTGTTGCGTTCGTAAACGAAGGAGCCCAATTAATATAACTCACCGAACTGGATTGTTGCTCTGAAGTGGCAACTGCTGATTTGGAAAGAGTGTTCGTTGTTTCAGGTTGACAAGAAGCAAAATTCAAGAATGCGTTTGGTATTGAGGCTGAAGTTGCTGACAGCTTATCGTTATTCGCTATTAATGATGCATCACTTTCAACAGCATAGTTAGTCAAGAGAGTACCTATAAAAAGCGCAAGAAAGTCAATGATACATGACAAAGAAAGAAAAGTGTACATATCTTCAAATGTAATTTTAGCACAATAACAACAACGATAGCGACAAAAAAAGAGCAAAGTGAACATAAAAACGACGACCGATAAAATGACAACCTGTAAACCGTCCATCTACAGTGTCACTAAAAGCAGATGGCTGTCTTCGCATTGCGATCGATGAGAGACCTCGCCGAAACGCACTACCACAACTATTGCTTCGTTCTAGCTGATGATGAGGATGATGAGCACTTGGCTGCTCATGCTGATCATTCTGACTGTGTTGTTGGAAGCGTTCCGAATGAGTGTTAGTATTATTATTTGTTGGTTGATCAGTAGCTAAATGCATCAATTCGATTCCCTCCATTCCGTATTCATCAACATAATTATTCAACTGAAACAATAAAATTGTCATTTCATCCATCTGGCATGTTATATGCAGATACAAATAGTCTCTCTGCATCAATAGATCTATTAGTTCTACCTTCAATAAAAACATTGTGCGAAAGCAATAAACCAGTCGTTCAACAGTGACATTCAGCGATCTGCATACATGGAAAATAACAACAACCTGATGTTCAGAGTCATGTTGATACGTTACTGTGGCTGGTATAGAATGAGCCAAATTCAATATTGCACATACATTCGCCAGTAGTGAGCTTATTTCAGCTGGATGCATCGAATAACACACTGAATTCTTAGACTATACTGTTATTATGGACTGTTATAGCGTTACCACAAAATGAGATCGAATTTTTGATTCGGTTGTTACACAAACGTCAACAATAATAAATGACGTACGAATAGGCCGTATTTGCTGTTCGAGCTGAGAACGATTGAATGAAAGACCATTCGAACGAACACTCTGTGCAATACGAATATGAAGTGGTTGTCCGTCGCGAGTCTCTTCACCGGTTACATTCAAATAATGCACTAATACAATTTCAGGATGCTGAAAACAATTCACTTATTTCGTTATACATATAAGATTTGTTCAGTTAACACAAATTCACAAGAATCTCTACATCATCGCCACTTTCATCGAATAAGAATACAAAACCTGATTTGTGCCAAGTCAAATGCTCATTGAATCTATAAAAAAATTTCAATCTTACATCACAGAGCCAGTAGGTTCGACGATGGAATGATGGCACAATAGCTGAATGCACATAACTTCCTGCAATCGTTTCCAACTTCTGCACCTTCAATTTAACATGATCTTCTCGGATGAGCTTGCCTTCTTTCCTCCTTTTCCATTCATATCTTTAAAAGTTTATGCAAATATACTCTAATGACGATAAATTATCTCACAAATATTCGTTTTACTATCAAACTGCGTTAAACAGGCAATCATTTGCGATTCAGACAACTGATCAAATGGTTAATTAAAAACGATGCTCAAGTTTGATAATCGTTGAAAAGTCCATGACAATTATTTTGTTAATTCAAACACATACAACTGTCTCACCACAACGAGACGAGACGAAAATATGAGAGGTTACATCCTATTTCATATCTTCCAAAACTACACTTGTTTCTATTAAAAACTAGCTCATAACACTCAAAAGATTACCTACATTATTTTTAATAGATCAAAGCACTTAGAAGATAGCGACTCACCCATCTTGCTTGAAATGAAGACCATCCAATCGTTTGAACAACCTTTGTGAAGTCGAAGGTGGAAAAGTGTGCGTTTCTGACGCTATCCAATCAGGATGGTTTTGTGCTGAATAAAGAATACGTGCCACATCCTAAATTGACGTGATTCCCTTCACATACAACTATCAACAAAAACTACTTCAAAACTGAATCAAAAAGAAACTCATTTTTCAAGACTAATAAAGAGCCGAAATATTCATTCGGTGTTGTGTATATTTTGTATATTAGAATTTGGTACATATGTGGGAAATTTTCAACTACACAATTCCACTGTGACATTAGAGGTGGAGAAAATCTAGACACTGAAAAATTTAGGGACAATAAATCCATTCAATATGGTCGATTTGATTTGAATAAATGTATATAGCAACACCGAATGTACTCCACATCTTGTGTAAAACTTTTGCCAACAATGAAGTTCATCATAACAAATACTATTCAAAACTGCACAACATCACAACTTATTTGATTTAATGCAGATGCACATATAACATGCCCATTTCACATCAACCCATCGAAAATACTAGTAAATTGAGCTAATCTGCATGTTTCTAAGCGCTCCAACTAAACACCGGCCGATGGGATGGAATATTTCATAGAAACAACTGAATTGCCAGTGATTTCAAGGAAATATTCCAATGAAACGTAGGTTAGAAAAACTCACCTCATTAGAATTCCATTTTGTTTGATTTGCATTAAATTCGTCATATGATGGTAGAAAATTGATGACCTGTTGAGTATGCATAACAAAAGTGCTGAATGCACGTCACTTCACTGATTCAATTTGAAGTTATTATTGATTTATTTGACTTCATTCTAAACAGATATATCACCGTTGCGTAAGCCAAGTTCTTTTAATCATTAGTCACACAAAATACATACATCACACATAATTACCATCAATTTTAATTGTTGAATTTATTGCTTAAAAGTTAACGAATTATTCCAAATCACGGGATGAAATCAACACTATGAATAATCAAACGTTCATTCGCTGTTGACAGATGATATGATCGCCAATATCATCAGAATCACAATATTTATTGTTAAGGGTGAAAATAGGATTAGTCGGGATGGACACTTGATTTTCTCCGATACACTTTCCCTACTGCAATATTCATACTTTGCTTTCAAATTTCACACAGGAATATTCATATTTACTATTAGTCTAAAGAAATATTATATTCTTAATTATTTGGTACAAATTTTATGTGATTTGTTCCTGTTGATCTTGAATTTGAACTCAAAAAATTCATATTGTATCACAACTAAGTAGCTTATTGAATTGATGATTTCACTATGCAAAAATGATTTCACTACTTTTATTTAGTATTAAGCGCAATTTGAATGATCCTTCAAGTCACCATATCTCAATGACAACAGAACGATTTATCAAGGGTCCTTTCGATTATCATTCGGAATAATAATTTCGGATAAATCATCAACGACAAAAACACACTGCAAAATAATTCAAATCTACTGCAATGAGAGCGATAATTATGAACGGTGAGCATAAAATGAACATCACTTTCAAAATCCACATTCAAATCGCAAAAATTGAAACAATTTTTTTTCCTGATTACCCGGCAGAATCGAAAAAAAAAGGATACGATTAAGACTGAAAGTCTCATGCTGAACCAGATTTTGAGAGAACTAAACAAGGACGAAATACCACGTTTCAAACTACATCTAATGCGAATTGCAAAAGGACTGAAAATAAGGAGAACTGGTGAAGGATCAGAAGAAATTTTCAATCAGTTAATTTTTGGAAAAGAATCTAATGATGAATACAAAGTATTTTCAACATAACAGAAATTCAAACAATCGTTTAAATAAGTCGCACACTGGAGAAAAGCATTCAGTCAGCCAGCACTTTAGCTTGCGTTCTTTTCCCAAGAGATCCAAGTCGGTACCAACCAGCTGTCACTAGCCTACTCTTGCCTCTAATGTATCCATCCACTCTAATATCTTATAGTACCCGCAAAACAAATAAAGTTATAATATGGTAGTGTCTCACGTTCACCATTTAAGCAAAGAAACTTGGAACATAAAATGAATTTCAAAAAGATAAAGTAATTTAAATTCCGAAAACATGTAAACTAACACTTTCGAACATTTCAAATCAATAAAAAGCATTTGAACGAGAACGATAGAAGCCGTTATCTGCAACAATCATTACGCTCCTCCCTTATCATACTATCAAGCAGCATATATTGATGAAATGACAGACGAATACAGAAAAGAAATAAACTTTCAAAAAGATAATTGGTGATGTTTGGAATAAGAAGTTGTTTTGATGATACTTTAGCATCGAAGAAAGAAATTTGTATTTAAGCTGAAGTTTTCAATTATTCTACTAAGCAACACTCATTATGTAGAGATTCTTTAATATCATAAAAAATAACATTAGAAATTTGTAGAGACTCACTCCATTATTGATCATTAATTGAATGAGCGAAGTTTCACGATATCGAAAACAAATTTTGGGAACGATCAGCAACTTCAAACCATCAATATTGTTACTTCCAGAGCGACGACTGTGATGAATGAAAGGCAGAAAATCTGACTATCGTTACGTGAATGCTGATTTTCGTCAATAACTGGAACAAAATTCTCGAAAAAAGCTGAACAACTGAATTACTTGACGGATAACCGATTTTAAGGAAACGAATTCCCACTCAACAACGCAAACAAAACAAACATATCCAGTTTACACTGAATACCCAAGCATCTTAACCCACCTATAAACCTGATTCATAACTTGGTTTAGAATTCAGAATCCAGTCAATTCAGTAATAAAATCCTGTGTAAAACAGGTAAGATGGAGGTACGCGCGAAATTTTCGTTCATATTGAGATGGGAAACGTTGCAAAAGTGATAGAGAGTCAGAAGAAACTGAATTGGTGGATAAAATCGGTGTTGTAATTGCAATTGATACTGATTTGAAAATCTACCAAATAAACACGTACATCCCGGAGGCTGATGAATATATGCTTGTTTTGAGCAACAACAGAGGCTGGTACGCAGAACACCCTCAAGTTCATTCGAAGTTTTTATATTGCTCCTAGTTGGGCACATGATCTTATGAATCGTTCTTTTTGAAATGTTTTTGTCAACTGATTTATCTACTGAATCTGACGCAATAAGCTGCAAACACTTCATCAAAGTATTTAACATCAGTTTGAAAATATCATCTTGAATCGTTAATTGACAAGATGCATTTTCAAGATATTTTGAAACATAGCGAACTGCTGATATTGGTGATATAGTGATATTAGTGATAACAGAGAGGCATAACAGAGAGTCATAAACTCGTTATGAGTTGGATTTGCTGATTAAATAAATGAAGATACAATGTATTGAAACGAGCGCTGCCGAGCAACTGAGATACCTTCAAAAAAAAAAAAACCAGCTATCTCTCTGAAGCTAACGATAAGCAAAATCGCCGGATGATACATATACTTTTCTGAAAGTTGATAATCTGGGATATCCGATGGCGTGGAGAGATCACAATGTTTCAGGGTGAACCTAATAACAACGATAGTTTGAAGGTGGTGCCCGTGATGCTGCTAAAATAATGTACAAATTGATCAGTAGAGACCTCAGCAATGCTGGTATAGATTCATTGACTTGAAATATTTGGTAAGTTTTGGGAAGGGTATATTATAGAAATAACTTCAATAATTCTCAATTGCCTTTTTTTTCATTCACCCACTGCGACGACTACTGACCTGATAGACTATTCAGTGCGCAAATGGCTGCCACTACATATAGGTTTCCTCTTCTTGGGTCATTTCTACAAAATTGTCTCGAAATCTGCCGTCACAATCATCCTAAGATTCCTTGATTTTCATTTTATATTTCATCATTCCGTCTGTTACATGTCAAAATCTTCAGCTCTTTCACGCCACCGAGTATTTTCTGGATTGGTTTTTCAGTTGTATCTGATGTTATGCGTGGAAATAATGAATTCATATAGGGGGGGGGGAGGGGGGTATCGTGAAAAAGGAACTGCTGTGTTCTCAAGTGTGATACGACGCGATGAAGAGGCGATTGGCTAATGTACCGTTTAAACACACAATATTCAACAACAATGAATGTAACGAGCAATTTAGCAGATATAATACATGAAAGATGCAAAATAGATTATGTGATGATATACATTACAAAAAGTCTACAATTTTAATACCATCGTGAATAAGATAAAGTGCATTGGTCAATTGGACTAAAGAATCAATTATGAGATAATCGTGAATAAGATAATTCACGATAGGGGGAGTAATGACCGCCTGCCAGGCCATTAAAGGGAGTAAGAAGCTTACAAGTGTGAGAACCACCGGTTTGAACTGATCATGCATAATTGATATTGATAACAATTTAAAAAATTCTGTTGAGACATTCGCCGCTTAATTCATACTTGTTCGGTGCTTGTTTGTTCTTTGATTATTTGGTGTTCGTTCCGTTTTTCCCATTTCCTTTTTGCTGTTCGGTGCTTTGTTGTGTTCAATGCTTCTGTTCGGTGCTTTTTCTGTTATTTGCTGTTTGTTCTGTTAGTCATTGTTTTTATCCTCATTTTTCGCATTCTTGTTTCTATCGTCTTGAATGTTTTTTGAATATTTTTTTTCAATAAATTTTGTCACATAAATATGTTTTGATATTTTTTCAATGAAAGCTATCGTATAAATTGGAACAAGTGACATTCTAAGGTTTTCGAATTGTATTAACATGTTCTTTAAAGTCGGGGGTCGGGAGCGCACTCTCATTAAATAAAGATTTCGTTTTCCTTCCAAAAGTGCACATTGGGAGGGACAATTTTATTGAAAAATAAGTTGAAATGCTCCTCGTCCTCTCCCACGGGAGCAAAGTTTTTGGCAAATTATTCTTACTGTCTCACAACAATTATTGTTCTTACATAGTTACTGTTACTGGTAATAAACATCAGAGCGTTTTGTTGTAATCCATTATTTAAATAATATCGGATAACAATAAATAGATTAAAAAGAGACGTGAATTGCAGTAGGAACACTTGATAGACCAGGAACCCATGAAATTTACACTCTATTTGTTTGAATAGAAGTTAATGTCTTTATTATGTGGAACATATAATTGGCAATATGAAAATGAAATTCACAATTACATTTATTGCCATGCAGCTTTGCAAAGGTTGCTCTAATGAAGTAAGCATCAAATCGTCCACATCACAAGTAAAGTTCTTGCTTATAATTTCTGTGCTAACCGTTCGCAGTTGACGTTATAGCTCAGTAGAATGACAGATGTCTCACCTGATATCTCCACATGAGCTAAAATGATGTGCTGATATTGTGCACTGCAATTGCCTGACAACATCAGCGTATGTGTAAACTGCATGTGAGGCTTACATATTAATCAATACATTCATCCCGTAAATGAATCAATCGGGCATGTGCCACTCTACTCGGCTTTGATGATTTACTTATTCAGGAATTCAGTTGAATCCCATCGGATGGAGTCGAGTTGCGTGCGTATTTGTCGCAAGCGTGTGTGGCATCATCACGTCAAAATTGCTTACTTAACCATAAGCTGGATGCATTTGAGACACTACACTCACTTCCACGCATGTGTCATCTAGGCAGTCAGCCTCTTCTCGAGAGCAGATAAGGTCGTTAGGCTGATTCATTCAGCAGCAAACCTTTTGGTTATTCTTCCATTTTTGATCGAGTCAAACAATTGTTGTCTTGATTATCGCTTTACTGGAGAGAAAATAATAATATTTATTTGTTGTTTGATTGTGGGAAGCATTTTTTGCAGAAATGTATATCATCAAATTGAATTCACGCTTCGCCGGTGTTATTTGAGTTGACGATCGATAAAAACACGTCATGCGCTTTATTGATCATTGTAATGCTTACATCCAACATTCCATTCTCGTCATGCGATTATTGCACATTTGTATTATTGCTTTAGCTGAAATTCATATCAGAGCATGATGCTTATTTCAGCGTATTCGTTTCGCATATGCACTGGCAAACTAAAATTGCATTTAATAAGTTGAGAATAAATCTAAAACGGACACAGATATAATGTTGCTTAGCGAATTCTGTACTTTTTTCTGTTTTTGATTTAAGCACAATGAAAAAAGTATGCGCTGAAGATTAAATTTGGAAATATCTTTTTTACTTCATCCAGAAGGTTTCACTCTCACTGTTTCAAGCTAACATCTGCAGTAAAAATTGTTGGTGTACGTATAATGAGCGCAAAACTCGAAATTTAGCATTACATATTAATTTTATTATTCTTTGTACTATTATCTTTATTAGATGCGTAGTATCGGTTATCGCTGCCTTTCAGCTATGATCCAGTTCTGCTAATATCAACCTGAAAACATGGCATACATCAGTTCTTGTATTTGCTGAAAGCAACAGAACCAGTGAGAATACTCCCTTGCATAAATACATGTCCTTTTCTCGATAGCATACAGTTGCATTCTGTCGAACCTTTCAAACATCCATATCTGTTTTTTTTGAGCTGTCATATCTGTCTATATTTGTTCAATTTTGATTGCTGATTTCCGTTGCAATTCACTCAAATGAATTTGTATTCCTTTCATTATGATTCTTAATTAAAGACATTCAAATATGTATTTTTATTTCAAACTTTTCACTTCACATGTAAATTTCTAATGTGAGTTCCTAATTTTCAAACCGTTTTGTGCCAAAAATTCATCAGAAAAATTTATTCAAATCCAAACTTTGTCTAATTTTACAGCTGTGAAATTTTTACAACTTTTTCTGTGTACTTGCTTCATTGGAAGTGTAAGTAATCGTATTCTCAAATTTATATACTCACATCGAAGAGTTGAGAAAAAAAAAAGCTTAAAAATTGAACTTTTAACCAATTTTATAAGTTGTATTCCACCATGCATGCAGTTCACTTATCACGATTGTCACGGATGTTCATTACATAACAAGGTTTGTCAGCAAACGAAATGTTAATTTACTGACAATGAGTATAAGGAGATAAGAATTAGTGTTTTTAGGCTTCCTCTTGTGTTGCTGTGCAAGTATTTTTATAGATAAAGCATAACACATGCGTAATTTCACTTGAATTTCGCAAACTGGAGTAAAGTTTTTTTTTGAAAGAACCTCCACTGGTTGCTCAATTAAAATAAAATGATGCTGTAAAAGAGTTAAGTACACTTGGAAAATAGCTGGAGTATGATGAATGGCGTATGCTCATATGATTATTCAGAGGCATAGCTTATAGCTGAATGAATACGTGAAGCTGGTAAATGACGTTATGTTTTCATTGAAAATTTTGGGATCATTTCGATGTCAGATGGATAGAAAAAGAAGCCGTATTTTATGCTTGCTCCTAATTTACAGATTTCAGGTTAATGGTAATCGTTGATGGCAAAGTATAAAAAAGGTGGGCGTTATGAATTAATTAAATGGTGCCTTTGTATTGAATTTTGGCGGAAGTGTGGCTTGAGAAGTAATCAATTGATGAAGAAATTCATCTTCACAGTGGATTACACTAGGCAACAAATTTCAACATTTTTTGTTACAAATGGGTGAACTGCTGATTTTCACTGAACTGATGATGCTGATTTCAGATTGATGGCTAAACTTTATGAAGAGTCCGACCAGATTTTATGCAACTGAAAACCCCTATTTTTCGCTTTTTTCTTCGCCTACTTATATTATAAAAGCAGTATGAGCTGATTTTCTGGGTAACTTCTTATGTTGGGCATACTTAAATAATGCTCACATGTTTTTGCTCCTTTTTTTCCTGGCTTGAGACAGACAATGGTGCTCCGTTGGCGGTGTTAGCACTGCCGTGCCTTATCATTTACCTAAAGCGATTCCTCTTCTCAAGTGAATCTTTGGTGTCTTCTCTTCCTTAGCTATTTGCAGGACGTAGAGCTCTCCCTATGCAGGAAGTAACAATAATCTGCCGTCATATTCGGGTTGAAATTACTTTGATATCTGTTTCCCATAATGGAGATTTGTTGGTGGAAACATTCAGCATGTTCGTCGCTTACAGCTCCAAGATTGGATGCGAAGAAGCCAACATGAGAGTGTTGAAGAACGCATTTTCAAAGAAGTTATGCGTCCCACTCGTTCATTAGATCCAAACATGTTTTCTGTGCGTCCACAGTGGTTTCTAACTGCAATTTTTTCCTGCACCCAGTAAGTTAGATGGAAACGATGAGTTTAAACGATACTGTTGATCTGTAATCCACTGAAAACTTTTGCTTCTAGGTTAGCATCTGTCAATATTCCCTTGAATTCATCCTTGAAATGTTTAAAGCCTTGATAACTCATACTCTTCTCAATTATTCTTCATCAGGCCAAGTTCAGTACGAAGTATCTGTAAGGATCGATAATTGCTGGGTGCTTCACGTTGTATTTATCAGCAACATACTCATTTCTCATATTACTAATACAAAAAAGCTTTGGAACCACAACAATTGTCCATTTGTGTTTTGAACAAAATCTGGAAGTAACAGAATGAATCTAACTGTACATTTGAAATCAGCATACCAAAATTAGCTAGAAACCCCTATTTATTCTTCTTCTACAAAATCTTTGTTGCCTAGTGTCATAGGAGAAATAATTTGATGAACTTTTTTTTCTATTTTGGAGACTATCGAGTAAAAGACTCCAAAATGGCTGCAAAATTATTTTTAGGAAAGGAGGCAAAATATGCAGAATGTATTGAAGATGAAGGTGATGTAAGATACGGCAATGCTCAGCAAACACTCGTAAATGAGCCAGATATCGCTGTTCATCAGTCTACATTCGATATATCCGATCATCCCTTCTCTGCCATCAATTCTGCTCTTCTTCCCGATTCATTTGATGACGCTAAAGAAATGTATTTTTAACATTCGTCCATTGCAATTTTGTCGAGCAGCATTGTTTTTAGAACAGTACTAGTTATCAGTAAAAATACTTTCTGTGATTATTGCACTCATTCTCTCTGATACAAAATTGTCTTTTCGGAACAAACGTTTACAATGAACTGCTGAAAGGTACTGAAATGAGAGTTATTAATGACTCGTTTGGAAAACAAATAAATCAACAACAAAAATAGAGGAATCACCGACTTGTAATGGAATCGCTGAAAACAAACAAACAAATCTTTTCGTTGTATTTAAGTGGAAATCATTTATATTTCTTGGCCAGTAGTCTGCTTATATGACCAATACCTTGCGTTCTTTCTTTAAACATTTACAAAAATCTTGTGCAGTAGAAGTTTGCTTGGATTTGTTCATTACTACATTCTATTTTTGAACGGTGAGACATGAGGAGACCGAAATGTTCAATTTTCAAAGAATTCATTGATTTGAAATGTAGCACGAAATGCACATGCATTTAGGTAGATGAATCCGGTCAGCAATGAATACATTATGTTGACTGAATTTTTCACTGTTATATTTCCAGCGCGTCGTCAATGCTTAATGATATTTGTATCAAAACATGTACCAGTTGATTCACCGTTTACTTCATTTCACTGAATAATCTCTGACTTATTTTTTCTTGGGAAACAAATGTCTGTGACAGTTTATGTTTGTCAATTTTTTCCATACATGGTTCTTTAGCAGCTTTATATAGCTTCCATCACAATGTAGCCATGTGCCCAATGTCAGATAGAATTACTACAAATTCCGAGGCGCATCGGGCAAACAATTAGGCCCCATTTGTATGGAAAAGAAGAACACTTCAGACAAATCATTACAGATTCGATCAGTTTGGTTTCCGTATCGATGAAGAATCAATCGTCGATCTATCGAAACCCATCGAAACATCACAAGATCGGTGAATTATTTTGATTTCAGACTCAGTACTCATAAGTCCCATTAGATGAGATGATCAATCAGTAACCTTTAATCACTTTGTGGTTACACCGGCTCATTTTTTATCCATCATAATACTTTAGGAACTCTTCCTCTTTTTTTTTTCTGATCTGAGTATCGATAAATAAAATCGCCAAAAAAAATCTAAAAATCGGTAAAGGAAATGTGCTCATGAAACAGTGTCACATGTCGATCATTGCAAGCGGCTGATGTCGTCTTGAGTTCGTACCTTAGATTCATTGGAATGCTCGCTCACCTGAATGCAATTAAAGCACTGATCATGTCTGTTTTAATATTTGAAGAATGCGCTGGATAGCTCATATCGAGTTTGCTCACGAAGATATTTCGGAGGAACTGACATGGTCAAAGGTGGAAATTGATCGTTTGAGAAATGAAAAAACGACCGAATTACTTCGAAATATTGGTATTCCACATTCATTACGTCCATTTCTTTGGCCACGTTTTTGCGGTGCAACAGCCAAGAAGAATGCTAGTTCATTCACTTACGAAAATGTTGTAAAACAGAGTGAAAAAGATAAGCCGTCTATTGGCGCCCAAATCGAAAAGGATCTTTTGAGGTTCGTCCTGCTCATGTTTCTGTATGCTTTTTTTATCTTCATAGTTTTTCTCTAAATTGGTCATTGAAACGTTTGTTTGCAATTCACCTTCAACTGATCCGAAAAGTTACACTTCGCAACTAGCTTTGAATTTCATCGAACATTTCATGTTGATTAAAAAACTCAGATATTGTTTCTGATGACGAGAAGCAAAAAAGGCAATCAACAAATGAAGATTGTAAGAACAATGAATTGTTCATTTAATCATTAGACCAAATTTTCAGCAATAATGCTGCCGTAAGGATACGTACGACTCATGGTAGGCGTATGAGTCGTGTAGTGGCGCACTTAGAAAAAAATTGCGGGACAGTGACTTGCAGTTATACTAACAGACTTGAAAGTTTAATGCAGATGTTTGTAAAGCCAACGTGAAAGCAAAGATGCTGCTCAATTCTGCATATTTTACAATATACCCCTTTGTGCACTTCAGAATATGCTAATCAAATGAAGCCATTCATATAAAAATTTTAAAATTCATTCAAATTTGTGCAGAAAATCAGAAATCCAGCAATTTTTCACCGCCTCCTACCTTTTTTGATCTATACACTTCCCTTCAAAAATCTCTATGTCATAGCGTGAATTAAGCACATATTAATTTGAAGAAGACACCTCACATTCTCATTCATCGACCTGTTTCTCCGTTTTCTGACCGTCGCTCATATTAGGAATCATATCAACCAAAAATTTCTCGATCCTTCCGTTCGCGAGAGAGCCTTCATTTGGAGTTTCTAAAATCCTAGCTTTTTCACCCTTGCTTGTATAGGAAAGTAGTCATCGATTCGTTTCATAATCGCAAAGTAGACTAGATTAGTGATGGCATTCGACCGACGGTCGATCAGAAAAATACGACAAATTTCGGTCGGAATTTCGACATTCGAATCCCGACCAAACAATTTGGAAGGCCAGTCGGAACTCCGAATGTCGCAATGTTGAAAGGTGATTTCCGTGGGGCTCTAACCGAACAATTTCGACAGTCGGTCAAAAATCTGACATTGAGATTCCGACCGACATGAAATTTCGCTCGCTTGCCATCGCTAGCCTAGACTATAAGACATACAGATTTTTGATAGATTACTTGTATGGAATATTCACAACGATTAATTCCAGTGACGATCGAGTATTGCTAGAACTATGTGGACGTGTGAATCTATAAAACGAGATCATAAGGAATGATACACCGACAAGAAGTGGGGAAATTGTAATCCGTCTCCTTCCGCCCGCTTAATCTATGTTCTTAGAACATCGGAGGCGAGGGTATTCATTTTTCTAGTCCCCCTTTAAACGTCACTGGTACCGTGAGTGCTATCCTAATGATGGGATTATTGCTAAAACGTTGGTCTTATGAATAATAGAATAAATGCTATATTTGTCTTACTAACATTATTTGTTTATTGCGTTTTTTTGCTAAACATTTAAATAAGCATCTCAAATGGATCGCAAACATTGCGTTTAATAAAAGAAGTAAACTTCTTTAAAATCAACATTAATAGTTTACTGTGAAAGAGGGTTGGTCGACACTTCGCGCTTTCCCAGTTGATCATGTCAAGATTCACTTCGAATTAATCTCTTAAACGTGTTTCCATTAATAGGCCACATACAACAAACCTATCGCCTAGCAATCTCTTTTAAAGCTAAATATTTAGTATGAATCGGTTGCACAAGCCGTTCAACGTGCTGTGTGAATTTTTTGCGTGAGCCCTTCGTGGAAATTCCTCGAATTTTCACAGCCTGTATTCTTACCAGAATGAATCTCTTCTAATGATTTCATTCAACGCAATTCAGGACGTTACCAAACAATATTTGTTTTTGGCAAGAAAATAGCAAAGGAATTGAGTCACTTCGCCGACTTCTTCGATCGGTTGCTTATATGTATCCGGATATAGGCTATTGTCAGGGCATGGGAGTTATTGTTGCATCACTACTCTTATTTTGCTCGGAAGAAACAACATTCTGGATAATGGCATCGCTGGTTGAAGACATCTTTCCGGCGAATTACTACAGCCGATCGCTTCTCGGTTTACAGGTGATTTACCTCGAATAAAGATAAAATCATTCAAATTCATCGCGATTCGTTACGAAGAAGCGTAACGGCATGGTCAAGTGATAGTCTCTTTCAGAGACTATTCATTCTTTCAATTTTGTTTCGTTTCTTAAACCCAATTAAAAGTACCCTACTCTTGGTAATCTATTTTGCCCAAAGAAATCCTTTTTGTAATACTCGCAAGTTCTCACAGTAAGTAGTTTTCTAATTTTGCGACGAATTAGCCAATTTCAGTCCAGGAACGTTTTAATCTCATGCTGAATTGCATTGTTTCAGAGAACCTTCGATGCATTCCAAACTGGATGCTCCAAAAAAGAAAATTTATAGTACAAAGTGATGTTTTTTGGATATTTCATGAATCAGATACAGAGCCGAATTGTAAGAATTTTGCAAATTAGAATTTTACTTGGAGCCATAGAATGTTTTAGGCTGATGAACGTGTTGCTCGACAACTGATGAGTGTTCACCTACCTGAAGTTGATCGTTTATTGAAGCAGAACGATGTTGAAATGTCGCTGATCAGTGTCAATTGGCTACTCACTGCATTTGCATCTGTTTTTCCGATGAAAATTCTTCTCAGGGTGTGGGACTTCCTTTTCGTCAATGGAGGTGTCACCATTTTTCGGGTAATTGTACAAATTTTTTCTCACCAGCAGATCAGCTTCCAAAGAGTGTAAGTTGGGTTGACAATTTTTTTCCAGTCGCGGGATTCTCAAGATTTCACCCACCAAGTAGATGCTTTTCATTCCAAAACAGTCTGTGTGGATGCTCATTTTATATATCAGTCTGAAAGTTCCTCAGTTCAGTTTATTTCTTCGACTGATTGTGAGACGTCTCGTGCGCGATTCTCGCATTTCGAAATTTCCAAGGTCCTAGCTACCTTAAAAGATGCCTTTTAGTCTAGAAACAGCATATGCGAAGTATCTCTCACGAAAACAATCTAAGAGTTCGCTGGGTCAAATCATTCTTCTTTTTGAGGCATCTAATCCCATAATATAGATGGTGTGACCTTACAGACTAATCTTTTTTTACGAACCTTTACAGAGGTTGCTTTTAGTCAAGATGAAATCATTTTGGAATGTTTAACGGAGAAACTTCCGAAATTCATGCATCATCCTGGGCGATAAAAAAATACAACCCAATAATCATTCAAAAAAATTTTGCGAGCGAGAAATTTTACATGGCTTGTTTATCTACCAAAAGACACCTTTTCGAAGGGTGGTGACTGCAGTTTGCAGAATTTTGTTTTTTTCCGAGGCAAATAATTGTCACTCTAATGCATATTCCATCCATTCAATCATCAGTCCATCGGGAAGTTGACATTTTTTTCATAGCTACTTCTTTATTCGAACGTTTCTCCAAAAAACATCATCGAATTTGAACGAAATGCTAAATAAATGGTTCAAAAATGTTTCGAATCAAACAGTTTATCTGGAAAGTGCTGGAATCACTTATAATTTTATAGCAATTTAAGCAGCAGTTCGTAACATTTCAAATGAAAAATTATTCAGCTCATTTACAGATTATGATCTCAATGATAAAAATACGTGAAGATGATCTACTGGAATTGAATGGATCTGAGAATGCATCTGCCGATCTCTTCAATGCATTAGCTGAAATTCCATCTCATATAACAGATGCTGGTGCGTTAATACGATTGTTTAGTTTGAAAATTTCCCCTTGCAACATTCAAATATTGACGACGTTCGAACAAAACACCAACATCGATATCATTTCTGGTCATTGCTGAAAGACATCAAGATTATGTCCTTCCTGTGCTGTAAATATGATTGCACAAAAGGGATTGTTCAAACCACTGCTATAGGCGTAACTATTTGATGAATAATGCAGTTTGTGAAAAGTAAGAATGCATTAGTGATTTTGTTACACAGCTCTTTCCGAAATGTATAGCACAGTTTCCAGCACTTTGCAATCTCGAAACTTAGTCCGCAGTTTTCTTGCAGACAACAAATTTGTCTCAAAAATGTTGCTGATGGATCTCGTAGATGTTTTATCTAACTCTTGTTCAATCCCTGGTGAATATGAAGGTTTATGATTAATTTAGAACATCTTATCGAAGTGTGTATATCATTCGAATTTGCAATTACACCGGAACTCATCGAAAGTTCAAGACGTCGACAGCAAGCCGTTTTATTGGCGGATCAAGGCCTCATTATTGATCCAAATAGAAACACCAACCTACCAAAACAAAGAATCCAACGAAGAAAATTGGTGCGGTCGAAGAGCCTCGTCCAACAAATATTCGCTGTCACAAAAGAGCAGGTATGACTTCTCAATGATCAAATTTCTTATTGGGCGGATAAGAACTGAAATCTAACGTGCTTCAATGAAGTGACATTCCTATGTGTGGCCAAATGTTATGATGCAATTGGATCGGGGTCCCGTGAGGATCCACGAGGTTTCGGGTGTCCAAAAAACTACAGGTATGACTTCTTAATGAAGACCTTGAGCCTGATTTCGCGCCCGACCCAACCCTAATTGAGACCAATGTGATGTCCCTCATCGGTAAACGATGGCTGCATAATGGTAAGTCATTTGAATGGGTTAAGCGCGGTGAATGCGAAAATATTGAGCGATGATTTGTTTCGCTTGAATGAAACGCTGAAATGCTAAACAAAAAGTATCGGACGAAGCGGTGAGTAAGAATAAGGCCGATGGTGCGAGTGGATTTGCATTGTAAATAGATACGTACATTTGGTAGAGCTGTATTCATAATCATATGCAATTAAACAGCTGTAATCGTTAGATGACACTGCTCAGTGACAACATTCGTGCTATAAGCGAATGAAGTGCATTCTGCATTTTCACAGCATCTGTACAATGTTCTTTTCTTTTTCAAGCACAATTGATCGTCTTCTAGCTGAATTCATCATTTCTTTCGTTGAAGATGAATTCATTCAGTAAATAGTTATCATCGTTTCATGATTTCATTGCTCGCTAACTTCATCAATTCCTTTTACTATGTAGTAGTAAAAGGAATTGATGAGATTAGCGAGCAATTAATTGTTTTCTTTCTCGAAAAACGATATTTTCTCATTTTGATACATTCAATGGTGGTTTCATTCATGCTGTTTCTCAATCACATTGCAAACGATAGGCACTTCTGAAGGCAAGAATAAAATATCTGTATTACAGGATTTTAGATTGTTTTAATTCACACTTGTTGGTAATTGTCACCACAGTAAAGAGTAACTACCGTATTCGAAAACGGGTGCTTTCAATTAGGAATCATATGCTCTTTTTGGAGTCTAAGAATATTCCGAGAGTACCGCAACTGAAGGTTACTTAAAAAATGATCATGCCGCAGAATCAGCAGACCATGGAGAAGAGAATTGTGGATGTTAATGTATACCTAAAAATCTCATTCATTCATTCAGTCATCATCGATTTTTTAAAACAACACACAAATTTCAGTTGTTGTTTATGGCTTAGCAGATTGCATACCAAAGCACAAGTCAGCACATTTAAATGAAGCAACATAAAACTTCAGGGTGAAGAGAATGACCCGAAAATGAAAAACGTGCGTCAAACGGAACTGATTGTCGATTTGCGAGATGCTGTCTTACAACTTTGTCGGCATTTCATCAACTGTGACGAGTCTTTTGCGAGCACAGTGAATTTGCAGGTTCTTTTTGAAATTGCGTCATATGAGCTAGATAATGTACGGCAGTAAGCATGAGCGCATTATTTCATTGACCATCAATGATGCTATATTGTTTTGTGGTAATTAATTCCGTAGTGTAACATTATTTTTGCTGAAATATTACCTGCATTTGAGTGTTTATTGCACATTGCGTACTCGTTAGCAGTGGCTTCTACCTTTTTAATTTGAGAAAAAAAAAACGAGAAATAAAATATGCTCTTCTTTGAGAATCCATCATTCAGAACTTTTTTTTGCCCAGGCCAACGTTTTTCACACTTTTCCTCTTTGCCTGTATGGCAGGCCACTATTCCCACTTCAAATAACTTGTTAGGCGACACCAATTCTTTCTCCTCCCTTTTATGACGGTCTATCACTTCCTGGCGACAAATCAGAGGAAAATCATTGGTTAAGGAGTTTGCTGCTAATTTCGATGGTACCAAAGAAATGAATTTATTCTGATCAGACAATCTTTTTGAAAGCATCATTACATAGCTGTGAAATTCTTGACATAAGTTTTGAAAGCATTATTATATAACTGTGAAAGAATTGCCAAAAAATATCTTTCATCAATGATCTGCCAGTTTCCTCAGTTTCCCGTGACATCTTCAAAATCCTTCTCAGGAGGGATTTTTTTCTTCCTATCCCCCCCCCTCCCTCCTCATACCTGTGAGAACCCATTGGTGGTGTCCAAAAATGATTGGGTGTGAGTGATTGTAATCGAATACTGATTTATAATAAACTTAGATGCCACTGAATTCGCCTTCACAGCAACCAAAATTAATGACTTCATAAGTTGCACTGGATGTGATTGTAGTCGGTGATTGCTGAAAATTATGTTTTTTGGTTTGTAAACCTTGAGGTGTTTCTAGCATGTAGTAGACGTATCGCTGATTCTCTTGTGAGTTCCACAGTGTCACGCCACGCGACCAACGAGTGCAAATCTTCGTTTGCGTTCATGAATTCAGTATTGAATTGATCGCAGTGTTTTAGGCGGATTATTCTTGTGAAGAGAGTAGCGATGAGAAGGAAGAATTCATTAAAGCGAGGCGACAGGGATATCGCAGAGCGCGTGCACTTCTTGATTTTCAACGGCAAGACGAAGATGAACTGGGATTTATGTGAGCTTCACTCATTCGTAGCAGCCATCTCTATGAAATATTTTATTAATTCTCTACAATGATACGTTCTTACTGATCAGCGTGGATGTCGATTATAGGAAAAACGATATTATCACTGTTATATGTGAAAAGGACGAACATTGTTGGATTGGTGAGGTGAATGGTCTAAGGGGCTGGTTCCCTGCCAAATTTGTCGAGGTAATCAGTGCGAAGTAACTTTCATTGACATTAGACTGACGTTAGTTCGTAGCAGAGAACGTGTCTGTAACAGTTGATTTGCTTGGAAAAGAAAGTTGTTGAACGATAGTCGTTGAATATTTTGAGGTGGTCGATGAACGAGGCAAAAACTACACGGTTTTTGGTGACGAAGCTGTTTGTTCGGAAATAACCGAACTGGTGCGAGGCCGACTAGCATCTGCGTTAAAACCAATTCTAGAGCATGGCCTGCGTCGAAGTGGAGTGTTGAATCTCGCAGTTCATCCGTGGCTTTTTATTGGTGCTACCATTTTTGAATTTATCAGATTTTTACGAGTTTTATTCGAATTAATAGAATTGTTACCATATTGTTGTCACCAAAGTCGACAGAATGTAGTAATGGAATTTGCATAGAGCATTGCTATCAAAAGTATTGATCAAATTGAACTGAGAAACTATTTGCAGAGGAGATAGCAGCTCATTGTGTGCAAAGTCATTTCAATGCAGTTTATTCACGTCTTACTCTATGTAATACATTCAGTTTAGACCAGGATGGAAAGGTAAAGTTTTCAAACAGCTATTAGTAAGATTATTGGGGGAGTAAATCTTATCGTGAATATTTATTTGTTTAAGTGCGCAGTCAATTACTGAATTGACTTGATGTAGAGTTATAAAATGATTATGGAATACTCAAATTCAGGTATTAACACCAGAAGAATTGTTCTTCCGAGGAGTGCAACTGATCAACGAAACACACAACGCTGTCGGTGCACAGATGGACGTCAAATTGCGATCATTAATTGCACTTGCAATCAACGAGCAGTGCCTTCATTTATGGTTCGATTTGTTGTGCAGTCGTCCGGCTGAAAATATGATTCGAGAGAAATATTATCGCTCGTCTGCATTTATAAGATCACCGGTCTGGAAGCAGGTCCGAAGTTTACTCATTCCATCAATCTTACGCTTTCTTAAGTGGTTAATTCTTTATACATGTTGAGTTTCACGGTCATCAGCGTCATCCTAGTGTCAAGTTCGCAACAAGAACTTGTGACGTACCAATTTGCAGTCGGATGCGTTAGCAACTGAGCATTCAAATGGTTATGTTGACTTTACGACAAATTTTCGAGCGCAGTGTTGCAAAACTGATCTGATGAGCATTTGATGTAGAGTTATAAAAATGACTGTGCCAAAACCAGTGAAATGTTCAGATTACTCACCTATTGTATTGATTCTAGATAAAGTGTGAATTAAGGCTCCTTGCACAATTTTGTTTCAATTTAAATGTTGATTTCGAAATCGCTGGCATAACAAAGCCACAAAAGAATGGCATAACTGTCTCCAATTCCAGAAAGAAGGTAATGATAATGATTTTCTCTTTTTAATTGAATATCTACTTTTACTTCTACTTTAAATCAATCTGTCCATATGACTACTCAAATTACATTTAGAAAGTTGAAAAAAGTGTAAAAGTAAATGAATATGTACGTGATAAAAGAATTAAAGTTTTAGCTCATTTTCGGGAATATCAGGTACATTTTTCAAGCAATGGCTCATAAATTGTTCATTACAGAGTTTAGCGTTCCTTCGAAGGGATTCTCATTCCAATTCGTTTGAACAACCTCTGAAAGAAGGAGTCCGTGATATGCTTATTAAGCATCATTTGTTCAGTTGGGATTTGTAGTTGTTCTGGAAACCAATCGTCATTTATCCATCGTTCCATGGAATTCATCTGAATCAAATGTTGACGAAAATTGTACATGACTGTATTTGCAAGAGTGTTGTACATCAAAATAAACTTATCAAACATATTTCCTCATTTTTCTTATGCACAATAAACTCATGCATTATCGTGGTAGGTATATTGTCTACAGTGGTTCGATACATAATGTAACGGCTTGTTACGAAATACAAGCTGTCGCCCAGCATGTTTTAAATGGTGCTTTTTGCCAATCGTTCGAGCGTTTTGTATTGCAGCTGAGTAGTTATGAGGTGTGGTATCGTTTATCATTCCATGTTTGATTTTGATTGCATTTTTTAATTGCACTTGTATGATCATTTTGATATGATTTCACTTAGTTCTACTTCTCTCTCCTGTATCAGCATCTTTTACTGTGATGCTTTTAACGCTGTTTTGCTCGTACTCCCCTTTGGCCGTATAGCATATGGTCATTCTCCTCCACCTCCCTTCTTAACATGCCACACGACTCCAGTTCATGCACTTCTACTAATCTATTACTTCTCAATGACAAATCGGAAACAAACTCAGAAAACAGATTCATTGATCAAAAATCTTTTCGAAAAGACTATTGGACAACTCTGCAAGAATCATAAAGAAAAATCAATCAACAATGATTTGCCGAACTCTTCAATTTCATCTTGGCACTGTTGATTTCCTCACAGAGGATTCCTTCCTGGTTTTATTTCTCCCTAGAGAACCACTGTTTTATTCGATAATTTCAATCAATGTTTAACTATCTGTATTCTTGCAGTATTATATCCAAATTAATGTGCTGCATCGTTGGTTAGAAACAAGTCTTTTTCTTCTCGAAAAGATTTTTTCTCAGGTTAGAAATTCTCTCAAAAGAAATTGAATCACATGCTGATTATCAGCTGAAACAATTCAAGGTTATGAACACTATATGCCTCTCTGATTGTTTTTATAAGAGGTACGTGCATTCAGCGCTTGTCGACCAACGTAGAAAATAGCCCAATACAGAGGATTTTGCAGATCATAATGGAATAATAATTTCAATTCCGTTGCTGTTCACTTTCATCAACGCTACCATCATAAACACAATATCGTACAGCGGAAAGAAGATCTGCTATATTTCTCAAGGTAGTTTTTGTGGGTTTTATGCTGTTTATAATCTAAAGAATAAACATTAAATCATTCGCTGTCACACAAATGAACCAAAAATGGGCATCACTGATCAATAAAAACAAAATGTTCACATGACTGAAGAATGTTGCTGATATAATCGATGTGTTGATCACTTCAGCTCTCAAACAGGTTATGAGCATTCTCTAGTCTCGTCTAATACATCCGCATTACTTTCTATATTAAACGACTCTATTGCGAACACCACGTTTCGTTTGCACAGTTCACATTTAATCGCTTTCATTTTTGTTTTCCTCATTTTTTTGGTGAAAGTTCATCCATATTTTACACTCAAACTGAGTAAATAAACTGATAATGGTGTGGAGGTCGTAGCTGAATCGACTGTTTCGTTTTTTTTAGAAGAAGAACATTGGAAAATTTGACCTAAACAAATTGATATTGAATGATCAATGAATACATTTAAGTACAGTCGAGGCTGTATGAAATCTGACTATATTATTTCACCTGGTTCTTTCTTTTTTAAAGCAGTGATAGACAATTATTTTGGGTTAGTACCTAGAACTAGTACTCAAGAAACCTCGCTTNCCTCGCTTGTCATTTGTTGACTTGACTTCAGTTTCAAATATTGAATTGAGGAACTGCAAAAATACTGATTACAATGGCAGTGAGTCAATCATAGGATCACGCCATACTTTGATTTTATGAACATGCCTAAATCACACAAAATTATTTCATTAAATGATGAATCGTTCGAGTACTTTGTGATTCATAACGGTGAATTATCTTGTGACATAATACTACATAAAGTATGCTGAACCCTGTCGGCAACAGACGCTTAAAGTTTGACATTCATTCATTTTATGATCACTTAGTGTACAGTTGATTTCTGATTGCCTTGCAGCCTGATCAATTCATCAAGCGTAGGAGTGGATAACAGTTTTGAATTTCATTTCTGGTGTGTGAAATGGGTGATCTCCAATTACGATTACGATGATCTAGATCAATATTAAATTGAAATTGATGGAGAACAATTATTTCCAGGAATGAACAATAAATCTCCATGCATTTTTGGAGTAAAGCAAAATTGCCGTAGTTTATAATAATACAGTTCGCATAATTCCTTTTATTCTTCGTCAATATTCGTTTCATCAATAACATTTAACAATACAATTTCACACCTATATCGCAAAACTTCATAATCCTCTTAAATGACGTCATACCGCATCGCAAAGCAACTTTCATCGAATCTGTTATTTCAAAACACCGATTTATGATATGGAGTTGTTTATTGCTCGCATAAAGTAGCTCCTGTTAGATTTAAAACTGTTGCATATCTTTGGGAAAATATAGCCGAAATCGAGGAATCGATGACAATATACCAAATTATTTGTGAATTCCATCCAGTTGGGAATGTTATTAATAATTTAATTACATCTTGGTTCCGAACAATTCTTTGCATTGTCTACCTTGAAAATATGAAATTTGCAACACTCGATCTTGTGCTGTCCAGTTATGATATATTGCGATACGCTGTACGACAGTGTGTTATCTAATTCATAAGCAACCATCTCGCATGACCTATTGCGTAATAAAATCGATAACCATTAATTGAATGCAGATATCAGTTATGCAAAAATCAGCGTTAGCATCAACCCGAAGTACTCAGCCGACTTCAAAACAATCCAATAAAGGCACTACATTGCGAGCCCATTTTAATGATTCCCCATCCACTACCTCGTGAGTGTCTTTTGCTGAAATACTTTTTGTTACTCATTTTCCCATTTGTTATCATCCCTTCAGGTGGCAAATAAAAAGATCATTTGAATGGAAATAAGTTGAACTTATCAAGTGAATTGACTTAAGCGAAAACTAATTTAATAACTTCAACTAATTTAAATAAGCAAAATAAAATTTGAATTTATAGTCTCAGTTTTATCTCTTTATTTGAAAGCAAGCATTCTTCATAATATATCTATTTCTATCATCGGAAGTTTGATCACTTTAATTTGGCAATCTCGAAAGTTTTGATCTTTCGAAAAACGAAATCCAGATTACAGCTCTCAAATGGCGAGGCGTTCGTCTCTAGATCAGATTCACCTGTTAGAAGAATGCAGAGGCTATCCTGTTCAAGTTCAAGTATACAGTGTAATAGTTGGATATTACTGCTCTCAGCCCACGAACATAACTCTCCGAAGAGACATTAGTGTTTGCAAAGATATTTGTTTATTGAAAAGGACACGAAAAGTGACGAAGCTGTGTTGAAACCATTTTTTGAAAAAAAATTTTTAGCATGCTGAAACGAATATATATTTTTATTTGAACTGTAATGAATCGTTGATTGCTTCACTCCTACTATATGTTCAGATTCCGAACGAGAATGGAGAAGAGAAAAACGAGGATGGAATGGTTGAAGGATACGAACAACCACCACTGCTTGTAAAAATTGTCGTTTGCTTTATTGCATGTGTTGTTATGGTGATCTGTTTAGGTATGTTGTTCATCAAATTCGATTAGCATTACGGTATCGTCGCTTGGTGAACAAAAGAGCACTCTTACAAATGCTGCCCATTGTCGATTGGAATCGCAAAGCGTTCGTTATACGACGAACATATTTTATAAAACACTGAATAATGAGACAATCTAAACCCTCGATTGCGTTGCATAACGCATCCTCATAATAGCCAATCGCAACTGTTTTACTCACAGTAAGGTTAGAAAATGTGACGTAAGGTTCCGTTTGTTCCCTGCGCGGCGGTCAGGTTGAGCAAAAAATCCCACTGTCGGTTTTTTTACTCCATCGTTGCAATCCAGTGCGGGCAATAGGGAATTATGCTAGCAGAAAGCTACCAAAGGCGACTACAAAGGTGACAATCCGAAGTTGGACTACAAAAGGCGAAAATCTCGATTGCGTCTAAAAATGGTTGTTAATTAGTTTCCGCCGCTATTGTTTCAAAAACAATTGTTGATCTCAGTTTCAGTGTTATTGTTTTTAAGTTCATTGCTGATCTGCTTTTCGTTGTTGCTGTTTTGAACGTTTTGCCGTCGTCGTCTCTTTTATGGATAATATGTACGGAGACGAGTTCTTTAAAAAGCGATCGTTATTACACTTATGAAGTAAGTAAATATTCTCAACCGTACCACCTTTTGGGTGTTCAACGTACGAGATAAGCGTAGGGTAAGCCTCAGCCTAAGTTTGGGTAAGCCTCGCTCCCCACCCGAAGTAAGACTCAACCTAAGTCTAAGCGCCAGTATAAGCCCAGGTTAAGCTCCAGCTTAAGCCCGAAACAAGCTCCAGCCTAAGCCAAGAGTGAGACTCAGCTCAAGCCAAAGCCTAATCCAATGGCACTTGGAATGGATGGACTTGTTTAGCATTGTTTTGACTCAAAACAGAAGAATTGGCTACAATCGTGGGCTTTCTAAAATTTTCAGAACGCAGATCAGCTGAAAGTATGAGTTCTTCTCCAAAAATGCTGTAATTAAGCCTCAAGCAGAAGTCTGGAAGGAAGACATCGTAGCAAACAGTGGCGTTGGAACCTACTGATTTTTGAGTTTGAGCGTTCAAGTTATTTCCATATTCAAGAGTGAGTATCACAAAATTATCATTTCGTTTTTATTATAAATATCACAAATTATCATTATCATGCTGGTTTTCAAGGCGAATGCTACATGTTAATGAATGTCGAAGGGAAGGTACTCATGTTAACAAATATAGGGAAAGTACTACATGTTAATAAATGCGATTTGAATGATGCATTAACACATGCGACCGATTGGACGAAAAAGATTAAAAACCACTACTTCAAAATGAATTGTATGTGAATGATTCTTCCCTAAAGTAGTTTCTTATTTTTCACGAAGTTTGCATCCAATACATCGTTGTTAAATCTAGCTTGTGTTTGAAGATGTAGGGTCAAAGCACTTCGGCTCTTCAAAAGACTCTGGTTACAAAAGACCGAAACTTCCAACTTGTTTTCGCCATAAAGAGGGTTCCTACCGCCGAGTCAGTCTTCTCTCGCCCGGAATCACCCCTTGCTTTGCGATCCTCACGCGTCGAAATCACCTCTTTCCAATCCCAGTTCACACAGTAAAGCAACGTCATCTTTCCGTCTCTATCACTTGACATTGTGCGTTCTCATTTTCATTTTCTTGTGTAATTCTTGTATTTCTTGTGTGTATCTCATCTCTTGTATTGTGTTCACTGGTCACTTATTGTGTTGTTTAATTATGAAAATAAAATTCAGTGCATATCTGATGTACATCTTCGCATTGCTCTACGTTGAATGATATGCTTCTGCTTACAAATATATCGCATCAAAAACACCTTTTTTCTGTTTCATCCCTACCAAACTGTCTTCCCATCAAGCAAAGAAATGATCGAACGCTGCCAAGTACAGTCCCTCTGGAATCATGTTTTCAGCCAGCTTTCAATAAATTGGAGATGGACATAGTTAGCCAAATTTTAACGCGATATTCGATGATCCGTCAACGAAACAATTAATGTTAGTCTGTTGAACCAAAATAATGTGCATCAGTGATTATCATCAACGATAATCGATAATTTCTGGCGTGCATTTGTTGAATTTTTCAGAATGAACAGAAATTACATGATTTCCTTCCAGTAATATTTCAATATCAGTGAAAATGTTTGTACCCATATCATGCCGGTGTTTTGTTCACAATACTGAATGTTCATATGCTCTGCATTAAATCACTGCGGTTTGGAATTAATAAACGAATTGTCGTGTTCGAGATAATTTTTACGAATCAACACTGCCCCGTGGGGATTTCGAATTTCAAATATATAATGCTTCAAATTTAAATGCGTTTGTTAATTGCTTGGCGAAGAAGTTAACAACTATAATCAGCGATTAACAATAAGTGAAAGTGTGCCCACTTCGGCCATAAACAATCACACTCGCATCTCAGGCAGTTCTCGTTGCTCAGCGTGCAAATGTAATCACTTTAATCGTTTGAGTTGTAAAGGTTCTCAAATATTTCACAAAAAATAAAAGCAATGTCGATCTCGGTCGCCCAATACCTTCACACATACCGAGTGCAGTGACCTCACACACTGACCGTTGAATAGAACTTGGATGATATTTGCATTAAACGAGGATGTAGATAGAAGAGCTAATATCGTCTGCTTTGATATCAGCATATCCTTCCTAATGATTCCGCCTCGTCTGACAGAGACAACGGCTGTCGTTGGAGGATGTGAATGTCAAAAATTTCAGGCAATTCAAAGTCCTCTGCTGCTTTCATCCTGCGTTCACTTCACAACTATGAAAAAAACGAACAGCCAATCATGTTTAGATAAATCAAAATAAAGAATTGAAATGAAATAACGATCAGCAGTGAGATGTTCTTGCCAAGCTTCAATCGTTTTGCGGACGAGATGTACCGAACTTCATCGACTGGTTGAATTACACGAAATATGTAAATGCGAAAGAGGCGTTGTATGAACGCATCATATTAAGCCTCCGATTGTTATCAACTCTGTTTTGTGAATGATATTACGATGGAATAGATCACAAATTATCATGCAGTGTTATAATCATCTGAGATTATTGTACGCCACATCATATCGTTTTGTTTCGTTTCACGTCAGCTAGTTGCTTCAGTTCATCTGGAATCATTTTCAAAATTTCACTTCTTTCATAATGCTACTACTAAAATTCACAATAACGATACACACAGTGCAATACCAATAAAAATAGTAACAATAATGATTGTTATTATTATTGTTATCACTGTTACTATTATTACTGTTATTATTATTATTACCATTATTATTATTATTATTATT